TCCAATTTAGTTAGAAAACCAATTTTTTTCACGTTGAGGTAGTCGGTAACAATTCAATCCTAATGGCAAGTGTCTTCATCTGACCAAAATCTGACTGGGTCAAATAATGCTCATTTATGCAAGGAATTAATCGGTACTTGACACATTCTGATAAATTAAGAGATGAGGTCATGGTCCAGTCCGCTCTTAGGGGCTCTGAAATTGCTCCATTTTGGTCGAATGCTAATTAAATCTGTCATTTTTTCTGAATTTTGTTTTGGGAAATACTTGAGCTTCATATTTGACATCTCTACGACTCGTAGCTACAAGAAATTGCTAAGTGCAAACTTTTCGTGGCGTTATTGTGACGTACACTTCGTCACAACTGACAAATATTCTGGATTACACTTTTTCGCAAATTTAGTTGCATCCCATTTTGGCTCTTAATTTTTCATCTTTAGCGTATCTTGAGAACTTAGTTTTTTTGATGTTCTAATCCCCAACGATTCTGATTTAATTCGGCGAAGAGTTGGTTTTGATATCTTCACCCGTTGGGCTGCTAGGTGATCCGACGTGGATGGCGTCCAGTGAAAATTATTTACACTCCTTTGATGACTTTGGATTTGGTCTGGCACACATGGTGATAAATATTTTTTTTTAATTCGACTGATTTTGTTTAGTCATACATTGGTGTGTAACGAAAAATTGAGGGGTTTGAAATATTTTCACTTTTGAGGTGGTGGTGCTTCTTTTTCTTCTCCAATTTGGCCGCTTTTTTGTACAAGTGCACCACGCGCTTGTTTTTCTTTTTGTCTGTCAGTACCGTACCAACCGTGGTATATCGTGGTACCAAATACCAGGCCCGGGGCCCGCAGGGGCCCGGGCCGGGTCCCTTGCTGTGCACAAGATAAAATGAACTTTTTGTGTGGACGATTTTACGAATAATTGATTTAAATTTAATTTTAAAGTAATTTATTTGAAACAAAAATTTTAAATTTCGACTAAAATAGGTTTCTTAGTTGATTATTGTTATTACTTTCTGAGTAGTTTTGCACGAGTTTGATTAGCTAAATATTGTGTGAAGTTATTTTTAACTTCGACAATTTTCATTTTATTGAATTCTAAATAATCACATATTTATAGTCTGTATTTGTAGCCGACCACAGCAATTTAACATTGCATGTTAAATATAGTTATTGAAGGGAATCTAAAGTACTGTCCCACCCAGGCCCTAAACTGGGGGTGGGCAAGCAGGGCAATTGCCCGGGGCGCCAGAAGTAGAGGGGGCGCCGGTAGGCGTCCCTATAAGCACTAGATATAATTGATAATTTGGGTGATAGCAGAAAGCAAGAACATTGCTGTTAAAACTTTAAATATAAATAATATAGCATAACAATTGTGGAGTATGAGTTCGAAAGATTAATGAATTCAAAAAATGTCCAATGTTTAATGGATCATAATTTAATACTACATCCGATCATAATCAATATTTCCTTTCATCAAGATAAAGTACTTCGTTCTTCTCAACACAGATTATTACTCGAGTTTTCCACAAGTAATAATACACTTTTGAATTGCTTCAAAAAATCGAAAATTAAAAAAAAACTTTATAAACGTTTCGATTTTTATCTAGTCAACCACAAATGCATTAGAAGCTTTTCATGCATTGCTGTTTGCATAATAAGAAACCCTGAAACTTTTCAGACTCTTCTGTATTCAAACATTCTGTGCATATATGTGCACCTTGGCTCCTTAGAACGTACATATTATCCTTCCTTTTGACGAAAGAGAAGGTCCAAAGCTTGTTCTAAATGTATGAAGGCATTAAATGATCGAGATGATTGGCGCTCCATGGGTAAAACGGTCAAATTTTCCTAATCTTTTATATTGTCTTTCGATGCTCGAGCCCCGGAAGGTTTTTTTTAATTCTAAAAAAAATACCACGGATAGTGAACTCTATAAACTTATGCTTTTGGTCGTCATAGTTCAACGAAAATCGAGGTTTGGAAAATGAACCAAAATGGCCACAAATTTATTTTATAGTTCTATTTACCCTGGATGGAGTATGTATTGAAATCGTTGAAAATTCCACCATTCCCTCAATATTTAACTCATATATTCAACCGTTATAACATTATCTAAATATTCAGTGGATCTGTGAACCCAAATTGTTCCCTTTGTATATAAAATTAAAAATTAGTTGTATTAAAAATCAAGAAAACGAAATGCGGGTGAAATGGTTTAAATATGTAATCTAAAAACTCTCACTATCTGACGCTGGATCTTAATTTCATGTTTAATTTGCATAGTTCGACTTCCTTTTATGTGTGTATGTAATAAACAACCTTAACTTATATTTGTCGGGCCTGATTTGACATGGGAATCTACTAACGCAGAAACTAAAGATTGGTTTATAGTTGCCACCTTCGATGGACACCATTAGCCTTAAAAAATAAAATGAGTAATTTCTGCGAAATAATTGCGTTTCTCAAATGTTGCTGATTTTAATGATGAGCGCAGAGGAGCTGTGTGTCCCTGGGAGAAGTCTAAATCTGCTATCCCCAAATCCGTTAAGGCTGTAATGTGTCGTATCTCGCACACGAAAAAGTGCAACCTTAACGGATTTGGGGATTGCAGATTTAGCATTCTTCCGGGGACACGCAGCCCCTCTAGATGAGTCAACTCAACAATGCCATAGTTTGCTTATTTTGGTGCGATCGAAGTACCTAAAGAGTAATTTTTAAATTTATCCTTTAGGAAAATTAATTTTTACATACTTGCACAAAGTGAGGATGGGCCATTAGTTTCCGGAGCAAGTTATGGCATTTGTTTTAACGAAATTGGTCTTCGAAATTACAATCACGGTTTGGTGGACACAAATACGCACAAACTTTCATTGCAATTGATTTAATTGTGTTTAAGATAATAAACCACGTGTTTGTAACGAATTTTTAAATTGGCTTTTTGGTTGTTAGAAAAATTCGCGAGCGGCTTGGGGCACATCAATACGTTTGCCCACTCTCGTGGGTGGCCTAGTTTAGGCACTGGTCCCACCAGGACCATGCGAAAACTGGTCGCACTCAACAGATAATTTCGTGAAACTAACACATTTAATTGAACACTTGATTCTAATTACATTACGGGCGCAGCACGGCCTCGTTTTTCGAATGTCAAGACGGTCAAGGCTACATTTTTGTAATGTACATTTTTTTGAACTCAATGTTAAAAATAAGTCTTAAATGATCTGACTTTGAATTTGGTCACTAAAAGTTTTGTTTACGCCTCTTGTTTTTCGATGATTTTGGGAATATTCTTGTCCATAAGCTTACATGTACTTATCTGTCTCAGAAAAATCAATATAACTTTTTGCACCCTGTCGTCTGCAACCTGATTTTTTTATGGTGGTTAAGAAATTTAACATGGCATTAGAGTTTATGAAATTTGGGTTACACACGACAGGGTGCAAACAGCTATAGCGTTTTGAAGTTGTCATTAGAAGATGGCAAAAATTAAAATTTTTCAAATTTTTCAAATTTTAGAATTTAGTTTGTGGTTCCTACAACAACTTTTAAGTTTAGGCAAACCTTCCCAAAATTACGTGACATCCAGTGCTTCAAATGGAAAAAGTTTTAATTTTTTTCGAAAAATTTAAATTCTCGGCCAATTTCGAATATAGAATTTTTATTTATTCAATAATAACTTTATTGAAGTATGATGCATTTATGGTAAAATTAGTCATAAAATCTAAGATGTGGCAACCTTTCTAAAAATTGTATTTAACTTTTGGCGTTTGCTTTTTTGCAAAACTTAAAATTTAAAAAAACAGATAATTTTCCAAATTGTTGAAATCATGCACTTTTTAAATTTACAATTAAGCAGTTTTTCAATTTGATACAAATTTTTAAAATTGTCGTTTTTTAAAATTTGATCAAGATTATTAATTCGTTTGAAGATTTGCAATTTTTTGACAAGGATATATTTTTAATTTGCAAAACATTAATGAGGGTATTCATTACGAGTTCGCATGTTCGCAACATAACTTTTTCGAAATTGCGAATTTTGCGAAGCAACGAAGTGATCACGCTTCGCAAATGAAAATTTTATTTAAATATCTCGAATTTTGTAGTGAAAAAAATTCGCAAATTACCATTAGTTACCGAAGTTTTGCGTCTAAAATTTACCAAATCAGAAATTTATAAAATATTTCAAAAGGCCTTCGGTAACTAATGAAGATTTGTGGACTTTTCCTATTGAAAAATTTGTGAACTATTTTGCGAACTACATAAATATTGCCCTGGAGATGCGCAAGTCCGCAAATTGATTTTCAAGCCAATTTTTTTTTTGCGAACTTGCGAACTTAATTGTTTTGCGAACGTTGCTAACAATGCGAACTCGAAATGAATACCCTCATTTTAAAATTATGTAAATTGTTTGAAATTTAAAAAATATCTTGCACTTGTGAAAAGGCCCGGTACCCAAGACCATACCAGGCCCGTAAATTTCACGGTACGGCTCTGTTGTCTGACGATGTTCTTATTAAGTTCCCAACCTTTTTGAACTAAAACCCTAACACTACATCGGTTTGGCTATCACATGCAACAATTAATTTACAAGAATTTGAATCTCTACTAAAGCTGGAGTACACGAAAAAACCGTGCCATCAATTATGAATCAACCCTTATTTCCAGGTACGAGTTTGCTTAAAATGACTTGATTGATCACAGAGCAAGAGATCGACGTATTTATGTCAAAACAAGACCGCTTATATGAGTGGAGGATTATCAATAGCCAAGTAAATATGTAATAAGTATTCCCTTTATAAATTTTAAATTTGTAAGATTGAAATATGTGTGCCGTGTATAGCATTCATTAGTAAGTTAAATCCCATGCAAATCGTAACTATGCATTGCTACGTGTGGCATTTCTATGTACTAATTAAGTTGTACCTTAGACCAGTTTTCCGCTTTACGGACCCAGATCGCAAAATTGTGCATTCAAAAATATGTCAAAACAGGTAAAGAAAAACTGTTTGGAATTATTTATTGCACTTCATTTTAATATCTCGGATTAGAATCCAATTGGCCTGGCTTGCTTTTAATAGTAAGAAAATACAGATTGTGACTTGTTCGTCGTATCTTTTAACCTGCATGTGTGGGTAAGAGTTAAAAATTTATGTAGGTTTTTTAAATTAATATTTAAATTTAATTTGACAGTTTAATTTGAATATTTCTGTGTACATTAGGAAAGTGAGTATTTAAAGGTTTTCCGACTTTGACTTGTAAACTGCGTTGCAACGTTCTTGATAAGACAGGTCTGCATTTCGATCCCGCTGAAAACAATAAACCCCACCAAACACGACCAATAAGATTACCAGTATAATTAGCAGAATGGTCCACACCGGGGAATGAGCTGGTTCTTCTTCTCCTTGCAAATTTCTAACTTTTTCATGAACACGCAATTTGGACTGACTGGTCGCCCCATCTTCCATCGTCCTCATCGTCATCAGCTTTGTCGTGGTGGTTGCTTTAGTCGTCGTTGATAAGTTGTCCACGACCGGTGGGCAAGTATGTCCGCAAAGTGAGACCGATTCGACATAAATGGCAGGATCTTGCCCAACATTGAAGCCCAAAAAAATAGACGATGCAGATATAGATATCCTGGCCGTAGTTGGACCGAGTTCCCCCCACAAGTGGCGCCATCATGAAATTCGACACACGTGGTTGTGGCAGTTCCTGAAATTTTAATCGACTTCCACCATCTAAATGGTGGAGTTGTGATGCACTGCATCCCAGATATTGAGAGAGGATAATTGTCTTCTGAAATGCAATTATTCGATTAGATTAATTTGCTTTCACAAATTGGACTTATCATAATATTCTCTTCTCACCAGTGTAGTCTACCGCATAATAAAGCGTGACGCTAGTTGGAACATCCCGCATCATTCCGGCCCAATTCTGAGGGTCACATTTCCCCAAACACGGCCCGATTGAACCCACGATCATTTTTTCATTGGCAACCAAAGCGTCGTCGTCCCAACGATGTGCCGCCATGCTCAAGACAGATTGGTACCAGAGACTAGGGTGAAGCCGGATGAATTGGCCGACGCAGTTTTCTTCGGAATAAATGTTGTTGCAGTGTCCATTTGTGTCAATTGCATGGACGTAGCTAGCGTTCGATTGGATCATGGCGGGAATGCAGCGATCCACGTTGTAAAGTTTTGCTAAATATTTAGAAGTACAAAAAGGATTAAATATTCAAATTAGGAAGTAATTTAATGTCTCTCCAAAACAATGGGAATTAACCTCCGAATATTTAAGATGTTACCTACATAAATGGAAAGCAACCTCTCAATGCTCTAAATTTTCCTTGCCTTTAAATGGAAGTAGCCTCTCATTATGCATATCATAAATCTGTGTAAATTTCTTATCAGTGATGGGCCTTACTACCAGAGTACAGTTGACTATTTTCTTAAATATCATATTATTTCTGATGCAATTAAATGAATCGGTTTAATAATAGGAGAAAATCCTCTGGGAACGTTCGTAAAATGCGTAACGCATCGGTGGGGGAGGGCTTTTGCGTTGCAGGTGAAATTGCGCCACATGTTAAAAAGAGGGTGTAACGTGTAACCCGTTAAGAGCGGGGAGGGGTCCAAAATCGCGGATTTTGTATTGTGTATTTTATGAACGTTCCCTTCTACATATAGTAATTACGTAATTAGGTTTAATAATTCAAACGAAATATGTAATTCTTATTATATTTTTCTTACGAACAGATGTAATTTCATTTGCGATGTGAACTTTAATGGTACGAGCAGTTACAAAAGTTGATTTAATTCCGATAGTGATAAGGAACGTTGCTATTAATGATACTTTTAACTCCGTAGAATGCATTTTTTTAAACTTTAGTTTTCATTTTTATTTGCAAATTACATCAGAGTTATGCATGATGATGTATCCAGATTTGTATGTACAAATATACATACATATTTTTCACTTGACAAGTAACTTGTCAAATGATAGATTGTACAATTTTTGCCAAAATTTGTGCACAGAGAGATGTAAGTAGCAGAGTTTTGCATAGAGGCTTTTATATATACATTAGCATAATCCTGTCATGTTGAACTTAACCAACCAATCTTACGCTTATCGTTGTCAAGAATTTAATAAATACAGGATACATATGTACAAAATTACATATCACATAATAAGGAATACGTTAATGCTTAAACTTTACATACGTATCAATACATACAAAGATAAATAAGCCCATTCATTTATCCGTAGATCTACACATACATAAATATGTACATATGTAGGTTTGAATAGTGTTATATTAAACTTTTATTGCAGGCTTTGTCGGTTCGTCTATAAGTACATTTTACATTATATTTTACATGTTAAAAAAATTGTATCATATTTATAAAAGCCTGATGAAAGATGATGACACCGGGAACGGCTGCAAAATTATCCGAATAAGAGTCACGTTTCATTATTTTGACATGTTTCATTTGATCAAAAACATAACTACGTACATATGTTTACATATGTTACTGTCTACGGTATTTCAATCTGAAAATTAAGTGTTAATTTTAGACTAAAGTTTCCGATTTTCATTCACAACCTGTCAAATCACGCAACTACTCTCCATTCACACACAGTTGAACTTTTACAGAAGTTGAGAATTCTTAGAAACTACGCCACTACCCGTCTCAAAGTCCCCCGTAATTATAATTTGAGGGCAATTGACATAGCCAGTGGCGTCTAATATTTACATAAGCTTTAAAATTGAATGGTTAGTGCCTACAGTCTACAGTAAATAATAGTGTTAAACACTTATTAATATTTTTTTTTATAAATTGGTGCCTTCTGGCGTCGACATCTGTCCTTCTCAATTGGCGATTGGTTTGATAAGCTACGCCATCAAGGCATCCATCGTGGTATTTCCTACGGCCACGTAGTACCGCGATTTTGTCGACTTCTTCAACACGAACAAACTAAATTCCCCGCTCACCACCTTTATTCCAATCGGTCTTAGAACCTTCCCCATTTTCTCCTCGAATCTCATACTGCCCCGTTTACTTCCTAGCGTCCTCCTCCACCCCGCCAACAATTTCCTGCTCAGCTCATGACATGCGATCCCGTACGGAAACAGTATTCCAATTCCAACCATGGCAACGAGCGATCCCGTCGGGAAGAAGAGATAAAATGGCATCCGAATAACGCCAAACATTCGGATCGTGACGAAATTGCACGTGACCGTGAATCCAAACCCTAACGAGAGCAGTAAGACGGCCAGCGTGGTGGAAATCGACTCCAGATTTTTGTTCAATATGCAAAACCTTTGATACAACCGGATCGAATGCAGGCCGGGTGACATTCGGCCTAATCTGCCTACCGAATCGATCATCACGTTTAGAACCAGGGCGCCATGAATTACGGATCCGACCAGGATGGCAGTGTCGTTAAAGGAAATCAAGGCGTTCCAAACGGTCAGTATTATGAAGGTGATGGCTTTACAGGCAAAATAAGTGTTTAGTGGACAAATAGAATTCGCAAAGGTGTACTGAAGTTGACCAAATTTGTCATTCACGATCAAATATGCTTCAAAGACGGCGTACACAAAAGGTAGAGTTACAGACGAGAGGGCAAAGTTGGTTAAGATGATGGTGAGTTTGTCCCATTTTTTGGCATGTTTTGCAAAATCTAGGTATGAAATAATGAATTAACGAGGTAATTCACGCAGTTATTTAGAACTTATGAAATATCTGAAAGTTGTGTAAAAAATAGCTAATTTTCCTTAGATATATGTATTCGTAAAATTTTGTCAAACTTTTTAAGTTTACACAATTGATGGATTTTACAATGTTAGAAAGGAGTGTGTGAATTACCTCAGTATATATACACTCCGCAAAAAAAGTGAATACATGGTTGCGACACGTAGCTCATAATCATTTAGAACTTTGGTTTCAAAAACAATTTTATTGTTGTTTTCTGCACTCTGCTATATATCTAAATAAATGATAATGCATCAAGCTTCCGAACCATGTATATTCACTCTTTTTGCTGACTGTAAATCACAAATTTATCGTCATCCAACCCAAACTAACCTTTCTCCAATAGTTCAGCCTGACGATGTAGGTCGTTACAGAAGGCGACATATTCCCGCTTCACGATCGAAATTGCGACGGCCAGCGAAATGTTGAAGGTTGACAAAAGTAGGGCACAAACATAAAGAACGACTTGTAAAATGGGGATTTTGTCGGAATATGCAAGATTCATGAGTTCAGCAATGATTAAAAGTATAGAGGCGAAGACAAGGAATTCGGGGAGGTAGAAAGTGTATAATAAATCCTTTAAATGGTAGGTTTGGAATCTTCCAGTGGAAGAGTTATAAACATATGGAAATTTGAAATAGAATTGGAAAACTTTTTGGTAAATGTGTAAAGACGTAAAGTTTGACATTTTTGGAAATTTCAGTTCACGGAAAAATGTACTTTGTAAACGTTTGGATTCATTTAGCACCTGTGAAGAATCCGTGTTCCTAATTTAGTCTGGATTATGATGATTATGTAATGGGTAAGTACTTATCTTAATATGATTAGATTACGATGTGTGATGTTCACTTACACGTATTTTTTCAAGCACAAATATAACGAGAAAAACAACTGTAAGATATAAAATTAATTTTCTTACTTGTGTTATAATATATTTTCCACAATGTAAAACATATTTTGTCCAGTAGAATCACAAATGCTTATAAATATTTAAGAACAACTTATGTTCCTTAATAAAGGTCGACTCCGCTGTTTTCATGTTTTTTTTAAAGTGGGCCAAATTACAGGATGTTTACAGATTTTGTGGAAAGACAATTACATCTATTACTTTTGAACGCGTAATCCAATTTGCACCAAATTTGGCACACACAATCTCGAAGGTCACGACCACACCTGCCCAAAGTTTCAAATTTCCATCTTCAAAGATGGCCCCTAAAAGTTACCCGAAAGTGGGCGAACCGTAAGAGCGGTTTCCGAAGCTAATTTGGCCACGAAAAGTGCCCAAACGATAATCCAAAAATTTGGAACCCATCTTATCGTGTCCCCACATATAAGTGTATCAATTTTGTAAGAAAACGCCAGTAACTAGTTTCATCCGACCAACGTATGCGACGAAATGCATACCCCTCAAAACGATGAATTCTGCCACCCTGAAGAACATTGATCGCCACGATGTCAATCAGAATCCTGCAACCAAAAGACAGGTTACAATGCAATCCCAGGTGTCTCCTGGACACGTTAATCGTATTTTATAGCACAATTTTAAAAAAGCCTTGCAAAGGAAGGCGAAAGTCCGCGCACTTAAATTTACCCATATGGTAAACAAAAAAACCAACAGCCGGAGGCTGTTTGAAGGTCATGTTGGGAATAAAAATTCCGAATTTGTCGTCACATTGGACGGGACACTCTGCTGCCTTCAAAACTTCAACAGGACAAAAATAATTTGCTGCAAAACCGATCGAAAGCAGATTTCAAAGCATGGGTCTGAAAAGAAGGAAAAGTTGTCTGACTGATTCCTGGTGGCAGGTGCAATGACGGACCGTGGAGTGCGAACATTGATACCTGTTGGGTCTAATGCAAAAATAAACTTGAAGTACTTTATGGACAGTGTTTTACATAAGTTGTTGGAGGTCAAAATTTCAAAGAAGCAATTTGGGGAGCCTGACAAGGTTTGCATCCATCACGACGCGACATTTTCATATACGACCGTATTTACCCAACCGGACGCCCAAGATTTAAAGGCAAACCCCGGAATGACCTCGATATCCTTTTCCGGGGTACACATTAAGTAACCTGACACCAGTCCGATGGAATTTTTTGGGTTTTTTGGATGCTTAGAACAACGCTTTTTCAATGGAAGAGATAAAAAATGTCTGTTGTTTGGAAACCCCTTTCACCGATTCCTCCACTTTGAGGTCACTTTTTGCGCTCATTTTTGAAGATAGAAATTTGAAACTTGGGACATGTGTGACCGTGATCTTGGGGATTGCGTGTTCGAAATTAGGCGCCAAAACGGATAAAGGGTTCGCAGTTTACCCATAAAATTGTCTTTCCACAAAATCTGTAAACACCCTCTGTAGTAATTCGAGTATCAAATAATTTGCATATACTTACTTAAATGTAAATGCATACGTCTGTCGCATATAAATGATACATATGTCTATCTTTTAAATCTGTAAAAATGGTTTTTAAAAAATGTTTAAGTCCTACATTTAGGTTTTGGTTAAATTTCAGTTAGACAATTAAATTAGGGACAGATAAAAGCAGTAAAATTAATTATAAAGCTCACGTACGTAGGCAACTTTGGCCTATGATGCAAAAACATAAAGAACGGGACATTTAATTTGACTGGACTGTCCAGTTAAATTTGTTTAATTCGGGGAATAACAACTTGGACTAAAAAATATGAATGTCAAAAACTTTTTTGAAATAATTAAGGGAATTATTTTATTTAACCTTGGAAAAATTTAGAACACTTTCAACAGATAAACGGAGTCTGGGGGAACGTACGGCATGTTTCAACAGTTTACACCCTATCTAAGCCATTACTATTACCGTCTTTAATTGACGCCAAATCAATAATTTTATCAAGTGAACCTTTAAAATGATTCTCAACTGAGTATTATGCGACTCAACTTCGGTATTATGCATGGCACCTATATACTAAATAAGTTATCTGTATTTACTTTTTCTGCCATCACAAACAATCATTCGCACTGATAGTATGTTTTTAATGGCCCGGCGAAGACGGGCTTATTTTCTAGTTGATACATATGTCCATCATGTGTTAATACATAAGTATTTTTACTTTTCTAGCGTATGCACTCGACAATGTGGGACTAATTGGTTAGAAGTGAAGAATTTCTTCCCACAGAAGTAACATCCATATCTCGCTGCATTGTGATGCAATCTATGATATGCCAAATTGGCTTTTGCGTGGGTTCTGTACTCGCATTTGTCGCAGGAATGGATCAACTCTTTATTCGCAGCATGTCTCGCCACCACGTGACGCTTCAAGTAAGAAGGCTTGGAGTATCTCTTGTTGCACAATGCGCACGGATAATTCCTCTGATTTTCATGCTCTACTCGGATGTGCGATTGTAGAGCAGATCTACTTAAGAAGGTCTGCGGACACACGTGACACTGTAACACGGGTCGGGTAGATTTTTCCAAATGCGTCATCTGTAAAATTATTATGCACATGCATTTATAATTTTTCACCTAGTTTTTCCCACAAATTTGCTTACTAACCTCGTGACTTGTCAAGGTCCCCTTGTGGGCGAAACTCCTCCCACAAGTGGCACATTTGTGCGGCTTCTCCGTCGTGTGGGTGGGAATGTGTTGCTCAAGCTCATTCCTCCTTTTGAATTCCTTTCCGCATAGTGTGCACGGAAATCTGACCGAGTTTTGGGTATGTTCAATTTGTACGTGCCTAACAACATTTCCCTTGGTTAGATAGGTTTTTCCACAGCCAGGGAACGTACATGGTAAACGGGGCCGTTCTTTCTTGCTGTGCATGATTTCAATGTGATTCCGTAAGCTGATCGAACTCGAAAACACGCCGTGACAAATGTGACAACTTGGTCGTTTTCGATTGCTGTGGAATCTCCATTTGTGGGAAGATAAGGTGGGTCTGTTTTTGCAAATTACGCTACAAATCTGGGCAAAGAAGATATGGCAAAATCTTAATGATAAAATTGAGTTCACTTTTGTAAATTTATGTATTTTTATACGCTTACCTCGCATTTGACTTTCGCATCGGAATCGTGACAGACGCTGTGTCTCGTTAATCCGTTATAGGTTTCAAAGGTTTTTGAGCACTTTGGACTTCCCCATTTCTTTCCTGGTTTTAGATCCATGTGGATTCCGGATTGTAGATTTATTTACCTATATTCGCAAAAAAATGTGCGTACACAAATTTAGTTTTGCATCTGTAAGAATAATTTTGATTATATTCACACACTATTTCCACAATTTTTTGCGAACAATTCTCACATTTTTGGATTCAATAACATGAAACACATTTCGAGAACTTTTTTGCGAGTATAATGTTCGTCATACATAACGACAAATAAAATTAGTACTACAAATATGTTGTTTCTCTTACCGAGCTAATCGCAATATTCTCAATTTCGTCTCTTACCGTTTGTTGTGTAGGTATTTGGGTTAACATTACTTATGTACTTATGTATGAAGATTTTGGTTAGAAGTCAGTGAACATGTAAGGTTAATGTTGGTGCGTTTGGTGTATACAGAAAGGGTCGCATTTTTTGACCACGACAACGAGTGACTACTTGAAAAATTCCTGGATAAAAATAACTACATACTAACCTTCACCCTTGGGGATCAAGAATACGTAAATCATGCGACAAATATGAAGTGGGAGGATTTTCGCAGCCCAATGGAAGAGTCAATCCCGAGGTTAACATTTCGTGCTATCTTGACTTATTCATAATGCATGTATTTGAATTACATATTGAATTTACGTGGGTAAGTAGTACTTACCCCCGTAAAACACTGCTTGTACTTACTAAGTACATGCAGTGTTGTAAATTTTCACCAGAGTAAAATGTGCTAAAAAGTGGTAAGATGGTAACAAGTTCCAGAAAGGACTCTGAAAAGCTGGACAAAGAAATTATTTTTTAATCCGCGATATCCTAAGTCCAAGGGAAGAGCGGGAAAAATAAAACCCTTTCTGAAAATAAAGAAGCTACCCCAACAACCACAATCTCGGCTAAATGTTGAGAAAAAAGGGAACAATTTGACACATAATGTACTATGAAACGGTACATATTTACATAGTTATTTTATTATCTAACTTATGGCCCATAGTAAATACATATTTAAACCCAAATATATGTAAATATGTACTTATATATATGTATTTATATATATGTATCTACTTAACCTTCGTGTAACGTGTTTCTCAGAAATCTCACGCAATTGCGCATCGACCGAATTATTAATAACTATCGCACATATATACATATGTACATATAAGTATGTAAATGCCCAACTTAGGAGGGGAGCTTGCGAGGTTGATAATAACAGATCTTGATGCCCTTTGGATATGTGATAGGGTCCTATGAGTCTACTAAAACCCTGAAGTGGTTTGACTCCATGGCCACATTTGCGCCCGCCACACCCACTCAAAAATGCCCAAAAAACGCTTTCACTCCAGTTTTCACTCACTTAAATCCACGCCAAAAATCCAATTTTACTCGGATTTTGAAATTTCTTTCACCATTACACTCCCAGATAGTTGCTTTCTTCTATCCAATATCAAACTCAATTTTGCTGATGATTATTTCGCAGGCATAATTTGCGTTGTTGATTACTACAACAATCCTCATTCAAAATTTCAAATTTTAAAAATACTAAAAATTTCGAAAAAATTGAGTTTGGTGTTGGATTGCAGGATTGTCCAAAATCTTTCCCAACGCAAGGAAGAGCTAATCGTCACATCAGATCCCACATCTGTGACGAACCCAACTCTTCGAAATCCTACCAGTGCAACGTGACCCCTTGTACGAAGTCATTCTACACGCGCAATAATCTGCGCGAACACGTCTACCGAGTCCACGAAAGCGCAAAACGATTTAGTTGCGGATTTGAAGAATGCACGGTCACGTGCAAGACAAAAACCGCGCTAAAAGTGCATCAAGTGACGCACACAGGAGAAAAGAATTTCAAATGCGGTCATCCCAACTGCGACAAGGCGTACACGACGCAGGGTGCGTTGACCCAGCACCACGCCGCCGTCCACGTGGCGGCTCGTCTGTTCTGGGGTTACACGTGTTCGAAAGGATTTTTTAGCAAGCGCTGCTTAACCCGACATGTTAAAGGGGTCCACGAAACTATTGAGGCCAGATTCCTGTGTACTCTATGCACCGTGAAATTCAAGGTACATACGAAACTTAAGATCAGAGGTATATTACATATAAGAAATTAAAACGATACATTTTTCAAAAAATTTCAATTTAAATTTTTTTAAAAGGCAAAGGACTCGTTATACACTCACATTGCTTCTCACATTGGTGAAAAACCGTATTCTTGTGGAACATGTGCGGCCGGATTTAGGACGAGCAGTTCATTAAAATGTGAATCTTATATGGCTAATTTATTTAAGTATGTATCAAATTTAACCATACATATGCTTCAAAAATTTAACAGCCCACCAATACATGCACCGAGAAGAAAACACGTTTTCATGCCAATTTTGCACCAAAACGTACAGACGACCAAGCGATCGACGTGCTCATATCCGAATGGCTCATTCCACGACCCCCCACGCCCCCTCGGATTGTTCCACGTGCGGAAAAACCTTCCGTAACGGAACCTTCCTCCGAAAACACGTCCGCATCAACCACGGCGATCGCACCTTTTTGTGCTACTTTTGTCCCAAAGTGGTGAAAAATTATAAGGCCAACTTTGAAACGCACCTGCGTCGCCACACCCTCGAAAAACCGTTCGTTTGTAACGAGTGCAAGCATTCGACCGAGTCGCCATCAGCTCTTGTATCGCATGTGAAATGGATGCACGTCCCAGAGGTCGAGGAAGACATGCAGACTTGCTACTTTTGTGGGGAGAAGGTTCGAAAGCTGGAGTACGATTTGATGTCCCACATGCGCAAACACACGGCCGAGAGAGCTTTTTGTTGTGGGGTTTGTGGCAAAATGTTTAATTCCGTGGGAAAGGTGAAAGGTCATATTGACGAGGCGCACACGAGGGGACGGAGGGTTAAATGAAGTAATTATTATTCATGTGCTTAATTTGCTGTATTATTATTACTTCCCTTCAAAATTAAATAAATAAAAAAAAATAAATAAGAATAAATCGATAATCTTACAGGTGCATATAGGCCTTTAATTTGGTGAGAGTTTGGTTAAATTGACTTGATGGATAACACGTGTATGGATGAACGTATGTACATATGTACATGTAGTGGAAGGTTACCAGTAGCGAAGGACATATGTAATATTCACTTCATAAATTTGCAAGATGGAAATATTTATACACTCTTAAAAATAATTTTACTTTTTTCAAAACTAAGATCACTTTTGACTCCATATGAAGTAAATTATAGAGTACCCTAATTTACTTCAAATTTTTTTACGTAGAATAACATAATTCATGGTCATGTTATTTAATGTATGTATGGTTTAGCATAGTGAAATATTTGCATAAGTTTTAAAAGTCTGAACGTGGTCCCTACCTTAAAAATAATGTATAGCTTTAAAAATTTATCCATACTCCCTTACATTGGTACTTTCCAACGTCACCATTTGTCCTTCTGAATTGAAAAGATGTGATAAGTTATTTATCCATTTTCGTCATCAAGGCATCAATTGTGGTATTCATCACGGCCACATAGTACGTCGACTTTGTAGATTTTTTCAACACGAACAAACTAAATTCTCCACTCCCCACTTTAATTCCAATCGGTCTTAGCCCCTTCCCAATTTTCTCCTCGAATCTCATACTGCCCCGCTTGCTTCCTAGCGTCTTTCTCCACCCCACCAACAATTTCCTGCTCAACTCATGACATGCGATCCCGTACGGGAGCAGGATCCCGATTCCAACCATGGCAACGAGCGATCCCATGGGGAAAAAGAGATAAAAGGGCATCCGAATAACGGCAAACATTCGGACGGTGACGAAATTGCACGTGACCGTGAATCCAAACCCTAACGAGAGCAGTAAGAAGGCCAGCGTGGTGGAGATCGACTCCAGATTTTTGTTCAGTATGCAAAACCTTTGATACACCCGGATCGAATGCAGACTGGGAGCCATTCGGCCTAACTTACCGACCGAATCGATCAACATTTTCAAAACTAGGGCGCCATTTATTACCGATGCAACCAGGACGGCGGTGTCATTAAAGGCAATCAAGGCGTGCCAAATCGTCAATATTATGAAGGTGATGGCTTTACAGGCGAAATAAGTGTTTAGTGGACAGATCGAGTTCGCAAAGGTGTACTGAAGATGACCAAATTTGTCATTCACGGTCAGGTAGGCTTCAAAGATAGCGTGCACGAAGGGCAGAGTAACTGACGCGAGGACAAAGTTGGTTAAGATGATGGTGAGTTTGTCCCATTTTTTGACACGTTTTGCGAAATCTGTTAGATAATGAATTAATGAGTTACACAAAAATTGGTAACTAGTCCAATCGGTAAGTTTTGTAGAATAATTTGTGAATTTTATAAGTAAGCTAGGACTGCATGAATTTTCCCAAGGATTATAAATCATAATTTGATCGTTATCTCCAACTTACCTTTCTCCAATAGTTCAGCCTGAAGAAGTAGGTCGTTACAGAAGGCGACATATTCCCGCTTCACGATCGAAATTGCGACGACCGTGGAGATGTTGAAAGTTGACAAAATAAGGGCAAATGAATAAAGAAGGACTTGTAAAATGTGAATTTTTTCTGAACATGCAATACTCACGAGTTCAGCAATGCTTAAAAGGACGGAGGAGAAGACTAGGAATTCGGGGAGGTAGAATGTGTATAATAAATCTTTTAACTGGAGGGTTTCGAATCTTCGGGCGGATGTGTTATAAAAGTACGGATATTTGAAGTAAAATAGGAAAACTTTTTGGTAGATGTGCAAAGATGTAAGGTTTGGCATTTTTAGAAATTTTAGTTCACGGAAACATATGTAAATGTGTGAATATGCAAAGGTGTGGATGGATTTGTATAGCGTCGGTGAGGAGTTGGTGTTCCAAATTTAGCCCTGGTTACGAAGACTATGTAAATGGGTAAGTACTTATCTTAATATGATTAAGTAACGATGTCTGGGTGGTGTGTGGGTACATACTTCGAGTTTAAGGATTTGTAAATACATTTACAAATTTAATGTCTTAAAACGTACATACATACAGTGGGTTCTCAAAAGTATTGGTGGTCCATTTTGCGCTCGGTACCATGTACTATATTTTTGCCAAGGGATAGCCATAGACTAATTCTTCAAGCATTTTTTAAGGCCAAACTAATTGCCTAGAAAATACTTCAAACAGAATTTGAAAATCTGACCCCGTTCGGGGGAAATTGAGAACAGAGTGCAAAAAAATCATAAAAAAATGTTGCAAAAGTATTGGTAGTCCCATATTTTTTTTGATATGCAGGCAACGCACATCTGAATTCTTAGTCTCATCATTCGTATTAGACTTTTTTATGTCCACTGTTGAATTCAGAATTGTGAATTGAGAATTACTTTATTATGTTGCACATAACCTCTATATATACATGATGAATTCATATACTTAAACATCCTCCGGATCTTACTAATCATAACAAATACCATTCCAAATACCAGTACAACCATAATTATGATGCATAAGGCATATTTTATGCATTACTAAAAATGACCTGCTTATTTTTAACACCCTCCTTGAGGCATAAAATAACTAAATTATTATCCGCGAATGCTCTCTTCCAAAGACTCCGCGTCGTTGTTTAAATCCCGAAGTTGAATTCCCGTCCGATTTATGATCTTGTCCTCGCTAACCTTATCAGAATTCTGTCTACAACACAATGTCAGTTTTGTGTGTAAAATCAAACCCAGAATCATTGCAAATCCTCCACCGATCAAGGCGACGATGATCCAAAAGTTGGTGTCATTAAAACGGTACCAATGATTCTCATCCAAAGGTGTGAGCAGTTCCATGGTCCGATTCAACTCATCCCATTTTACCGATGGTGTAAGATGCCACGCAAGCTTTTCCATCATCAAGGGGTCCTCTTTTTCATTATATACTAAATTGATTGCTTGCCCCTTGTACGTGATATTATTCAGAGTAAAAGTTCCCGTCAAGGGCAATTTAAACACATGATTTGGACACTTCACATTCCTCTGTGAACCGTACATGAACTCTAAACCTGGACAGTATATATGAAACATATTGTTGTATGTTTTAACTTGAATGAAATCCGACTCATCTCCCTCCTTGCTCTCCATGCATTTAGTCATTTTGTAAACATCATTAAAATGACGCGACTGACTAATGCAACTGGCAGAAGGTACGAGCATGTCTTTTTGCCCCAACGCCACTGAATAAATGCAATCTTCACCCAGAGATATAATTGCATGCCTTGGCCCATGGTATGTAGCAGTGCAAGTCCTGCCTTTCTCTTTCACCATAAGGAAAAATGCGTCAGCTTGTAGCATTGTCAAGTTCGTATTTACAATTGGAACAGCAAACTCCAGCGTGAGTGCATTTCCATCTCCGTTCATGGAACAGCGCTTGAACTCTCCGTATTCCAAAGGACAGTTTGCATCACACGGCAGTGTAATATTCATAAAGTCAAAGAATGAATCATCCATCTTATGCTTCCTCCACAAAGTCCTTGTGTGTTGTACTACTCCCCTTCCTACTAATAAACGCGAAATTATGTAGGAAACAATGTACTGAACCAGAATGGATCTTTCTTTGAAGGAGTTGGTATCGTCTATTAACGAGTTCACAGTCACACTGAGTTTCTTAACTTCCCCTTTGAGAAAAATCAACTCCTCGCTTGTAATCTGTGCCTTTCGTTCCATATCATCCAATGTTCTTTCAATTTCAAGCTGACTAACTTCAAGTTGGTCAGTTTTATGAATGGCATATCCACCTATTCCTATCCCTGCACTAGCAGCTACAGAAAGGAATATCCAGCCCACCACGATAGGTACGACCCTTCTTACTCTTATTGGGCCCATAAATTTTTTCTGACACAATTTCTCGAGTTCTCCTCGAAATAAAAGTTCATAATGCTCGTCGCATTTCTGCCTTAATTTCATGACGACTTTTGCAGAAAGTCCTTCCAGCGGAAGAAGTTCGCATATGCGATACAAGGTTTATCTTGACCGTGACACTGTTGTGACCGATCACTGCTGGTTCGCAATTTCTTCTCCAAATTACTGGACTCCCCTCTTGAAGTTTATGACAACCCCCGAATCCCAAAGTCAGCATGTAAATTATTGTTGTAATAATCGACATGAGGTTCAAGTCAAACTTCTTACTTGCCTTCTGTTTTTGAGGCTCTTCTCTCTTCCTCTGCGGGTTCATTGGAGCCGATGCTGACACAGAATGCACAAACTGCTTATGAAATTGTTCTCCAATTTCACTCTTTTTCTTATCACACATGTACTCCCCTGCGAGTTGTTCTTTATGGCCTAAAAATACAGCTTTTCTTTCAACTGCATTTTTAACTGGATCAAGTCTATCGTCCGAGCTAGCTTTGTCCAGTTTCTCAACTGGCTTAAACAGCATCACTTGCATGTTGTCGTCGTTTAATTTGGCTCGTAGACTTTCTTCTCCATCTGAAGTGAAGAAAATTGTTCCTTCTCTTGTGCTGCGAGTGTAAAAACCCTTCTTCAGCACACAATTTTTTGCGAATAAATTACTACCTCCAGGTAAATAAAACACATTTTGATCTGAATTATTTCCCATTTCTTCAAAATAAGTGCTTGTAGAGTTACAACTCCTACCCCTGGACATTCAGCAAATTTATTTGTAGCAATTTGAAGTTTTCTTGGTACATCAAACTTCTCGTAAGACGTAAACCAATCGCTTCTCCCAGTGACGTGTACATTCGTACCACTATCACAAAACCAGACAAAATCATCTCGTGATGTTTGAGTTCCACTTTTTACCATGAAGGATTTCCCTGCCTGCGATTTAACGGGCTGCTTTTCTTCGCCTGATTCTTTTTCGTTTTTCTTCAAAAGGCTCCAGCAGTCAGCCTTATAGTGGCCCCTTTTACCACAAACATGGCACGTTCCTTGTTTCTTGCCACCCCCATTCACTGGGTTGACCTTTTTCTTGCCAGAGAAAGCCCTTTCACTTTGTCCTTCTTTATCCCACATCTCTTCACGAGATTCATGGATTTTTAATTTTTGAACTAGGTTTTCTACGGTTTTCTCTGCGTCAGGAACTACATCCCAGGATGCCACGAGACTATCAAATCTCGGCCCACTGAGTTCATGTAAAACTTTGCTGAGGATTGCATCTCCATCCAAGCTCTTGTAACCCATTGCATTTAGCTGCCCACTAATGGATTGCAGATTATTTATCAATTCGGTGGGTGTCTTTTCCCCCAAATTTGCTTTGTCAAACTCTTGCAGTAATTCCTGCTTTGTCCACTTATTAGACTTACCAAAAGTCTGATCCAAAGTGGTCCACATTGCTGCAGCTGTAGTAGAAGAAAAAATGTAACTTGTTAACTTCTCGTCAACAGTTTGCAGAATTATGGCCATTCCGGCCCTGTTGCTCATGTCCCAGGCTTTCTCTTTGTCTGGATCGGATGACGGTCTAGTTTCCTTCCCGAAAACTATTTCTTGTATTCCCGATGCCCAGAAAATATTTTCAAGTGTCAACTTCCATAACGAGAAGTTCCTGGCACCCTCAAGCTTTTTGACGTTGCTGTGGTCAATCTTTATCACTTTTGACATGGTGAAAACTTTTAAAGATAATTTTCAGAATTATCAGTAAAACGGTTTATTTAATTGTTCGTCTCACTTTCCTCACTGAAACTCTTTCTTGAGAGCTCCGTGCTGATAACGTGTTGAATTCAGAATTGTGAATTGAGAATTACTTTATTATGTTGCACATAACCTCTATATATACATGATGAATTCATATACTTAAACATCCTCCGGATCTTACTAATCATAACAAATACCATTCCAAATACCAGTACAACCATAATTATGATGCATAAGGCATATTTTATGCATTACTAAAAATGACCTGCTTATTTTTAACAAAAGTGCAAAAAGTGCAACAAGAGTGCAAAAAAATCATAAAAAAATGTTGCAAAAGTATTGGTGGTCCCATATTTTTTTTGATATGCAGGCAACGCACATCTGAATTCTTAGTCTCATCATTCGTATTAGACTTTTTTATGTCCACTATGGTAGAAATTTATTAAAAACGATCGAAATAGGTGGGTTGAGCATCGCTGAGAAAAATGTATCACCAGCATGCATGAAGGATGTTCTGGACCTCAAAATTATGACCTTATGACCTAACCTAACCTTCTGAAAACTCTGAATGTCTTTAGGTGGTACAAGACAACTGGTTCGGTGATTAACAAAGCAAGACAATACCGTCCAAGGGCCACCGCATCACACATTAGTAGAAAAATGACCCATAATGGTAACGACACCCGTATGGCTTGGGTCTCAGTGGTCACAAAAAAAATCCATATCATACTGGATAACAAAATTTAATAGTTGAATGAGTGAGGGAGGCTACGTGAAACAAATTTTCATTGAAGGAAGCCGATATCTCAATTTATACATAGGAAAAAGAATGTATTTAAAATATATCAATGGGCAAAAAATCATGCACCATGAGGGAATATGATTGCGACAAGATCCAGCTATCGGAAAAAGACAAAATCCATTTTTTTGGAATCAGTGGACATTGGAATCATCAGGAACAGTCAGTTAAACAACATTGAATAGACTGCTCGAAAGTAAATGGTGATATTGATAGAGATAATCCATTATGTTTTACTTCCTAGCATGTTCGGAATTTAATATCATCTATATCGGGACCAGATTCAGTGATGGGGTTGGGTGCATACCGTCAAATAAAGTGGGGAACCTTAGTTTCTTTATTACCGCATTGAATCTTTACAGTGTGTAATGCGCTACTTATTTTTGTGACCTCTAAGACCTTTGTAAGGTCCAGACGGTTGTCGTTACCGTAATAGGTCATTTTTTTCCTAGGTTTTGTGTTTTGGCCCTTGGAAAGTATTGTCTTGCTTTGCTGATCACCGTACCAGTTGTCTTGTACCTCCTAAAGACATTCTGAGTTTTCCGAAGCTTAGGTTAGGTCATAAGGTCATAATTTTGAGGTCCAGAACATCCTTCATGCATGCTGGTAATAAATTTTTCTCAGCGATGCTCAACTCACCTATTTCGATCGTTTTTAATAAATTTCTACCATAGTCGACATAAAAAAGTCTAATACGAATGATGAGACTAAGAATTCAGATGTGCGTGGCCTGCATATCAAAAAAAATATGGGACCACCAATACTTTTGCAACATTTTTTTATGATTTTTTTGCACTCTGTTCTCAATTTCCCCCGAACGGGGTCAGATTTTCAAATTCTGTTTGAAGTATTTTCTAGGCAATTAGTTTGGCCTTAAAAAATGCTTGAAGAATTAGTCTATGGCTATCCCTTGGCAAAAATATAGTACATGGTACCGAGCGCAAAATGGACCACCAATACTTTTGAGAACCCACTGTATGCACTGTCAAATGTTGGAAATGTGGTATAGTCACGCAGGTAACGTGTTTAAAGTTACTACCGGTTTGTATTAACATTATACCGATAAATACAAATTTCCCATCAATATGGCTAAATTTTAATACCGAGCTACATATTACTTACTCCACGGTATTGCTGATCAATACCATTTTGGCAGAGTCAAACATATGTATATGAATACAGCCTTGTATTATCAAGTTTAATACTGGGTTTCTAAGAGTATGTTTCCCAAGGTGACCGTATTTTACATGCAGGATCAAAGGGTTTACTTGACATATTTTTCTAACTAAAAAAAATACGAGAAAAGAAAACAACTTTAAGAAGTAAATTTAATTTGGTAATTTGATCGTATGTTTCCTATAATTTAAAAGATATACATTTGTCCTGTAGAATCGCAAAGTCTTACATTTAAATCCAACGTGTGCTCCTTATTAAAGGTCGACTCCGCCGTTTTCATGTTTTTTAAAGTTTGTCAAATTCGTGGTTGGAGTCTCAAATAATTTGCATGTATAAATACGTCTGTCACATTCATGAATAAATGATATGTTTATGTGCAAAAATGATTCAAGAAAATATTTAAGTTAACATTTATTTGTTGCTTAAATTTAAGTTGGCCATTAAAATTACGGATTGAAGAAGTCTGCAAAATTAATTCGAAGCTCATACATAGTCCAGTCTGGACTTTCAATTTTGGTCAACTTTGCTTAATTCGTGAATTTGAAAAACAACTTGGACAGCAAAATATGAATTTAATGTTTATGTACTTAATGGCAGGATGTTTGATATCACTCTTACAAAACTGGTATTAAAAGTTATTACTGACCGGAGTATAATTCTACCGACACGGTGATAATAAACGGGCATTATCGTAATGTTGCGTAATGCTATGGTAATGTTCGTTATTGTTGTGCAAAATTACAACACGGATTGCAAAATTAGTGACGTAGAGATGTATATTTTTTATAAAAAGTTCGTCAGAAAATTCCATTTTGGGTTTAGCTAAGTCGCGAAAATGCATGAATGGTCCCCCCTAATTTGTATTGTCATCACGTTGAATAACATTCTCAGAAGGTACCTAATAATCTCTGCGGAATGTTATCATTTCTGCGTATCATGTCCTCCTCAGTATCATCCTTAGTATGGTATTTTTTGATTCCATGACTTCAGAGGAGAAACAAGGGCTGATTTTCAATCAGGATCATGCTCTTAAAGCGTGGTCACTACATGAAAGTATTTATTTCTTTAGTTGCAGGTTGCTGTATATTCGGTGCAGTTGTGCCCAATTTTTTCTTATTAGTCATGCATTCTTGATGAATACGTACAATTGCAGTACCTAAGTAAATTGCATGATATATATAGCCGAAATACATGATAAAATAAAAATCTGTAAGCATAAGCTACGAGATCCCCGTCGTTAGCATGGGAGGATCTCAGATTGGAGAATGAAAATGAGGATGCGTAGAAAATGTCAAATTTCTAAAATTTACTTAAAATTTATAATTCATTAATATGCACATTAGATACATACGTTTTTCCAGTTTTCTAAGGTATGGACTCGACTATGTTGCAACAATTAGGAAAAGGTGAAGAATTTTTTCCCACAGAAGTAACATCCATACTTCGCTGCATTGTGTCGCATTCTGTGACTAGCCAAATTGGCTTTTGAATAGCTCTTGTACTCGCATTTGTCGCAGAAATGGATCTTCCCCGTGTTATGAATCTCCTCCACGTGACGTTTCAAGGTTGATGCGTGGCAGAATCTCTTGTCACAAACTGGGCACAGATAATCCCTCAAATTTTCATGCGTAAATCGAATGTGGTACTGTAATCCGCTCCAACTTATGAAGGTCTGAGGACAGATGTGACACTTTGACACGTCTCGGGCAGATTTTTCCAAATGCGTCATCTGTAAAATGAATACGCACATTGATAATTTTTCACCCAGTGTTCCCACATCAAGCCAATTTAAATACTTGGTGACGTTTCCTGGCTTCTATCTTGGCTAAACCCCTCCCACAAGTGGCACAATTGTACGGCTTCTCAGTCGTGTGGGTGCGAATGTGTTGCGCAAGTTTAGACCTCACTTTGAACTCCTTTCCGCAAAGTGTGCACCGAAATCGCACCGGATTCTCGGTGTGTTCAGCTTTCACGTGTTGCGAAACGCCACCCTTATGCAGGTAGGTTTTTCCACAGCCGGGAAACGTACATGGGAAACGAGGTCGCTCCTCTGCGTTGTGGATGGCGTCAGTATGTCGCCGTAAGGAGGCAAACGTAGGAAAAGGCCGATGACAAGTGCCACAACTTGGTCGCTTCCGGTTGCTGTGTAATCTCCACATGTGGGAAGATAAGGTGGTTCTGTTTTTCACAATTATGTCGCAAACCTGGGCAATATGTACATAAGTGGACAAATGTATGTAGATTATAACATTTCATTTTTGCAAAATTTACACACTAACCTCACATTTGACCTTGGCATCGGGGTCGTGCGTGACCATGTGTCTGGTCAGCCTGCGGTTGGTTTCAAACATTTTTGAGCAGTTTTGACATTCCCACTTATTTTCTGGGTTTAGATCCATGTGGATTCCGTATTTGTTGAGTTTGTAGGTTTGTATAAGTATATTTGCAAACAATTAGTGTGCGTAAGCAAATTTAATTTGATATGTATCTGTGGAAAGAAAATCGCCTCTTAGCTATTCACGCAATATTGCAACAATTTGTTTTTAAACTAATTGATGAAGATGACACACATTTTAAGCAATTTAAGCGGCACACAATGTAATTATTAATTTATCGCAGTTTGCTAAATTTCGTCTCTAACGTGGGATTGTTTAGTTATTACTTTTGTAAGAGTTGCTTAAGAGTAAGTGAACCCGTAACGTTGAAAGTTAATGTTTGATCGTTTAGTGTGAAAACGGTTGCATTATTAACCATGCATAGCAATGAATGAAGGCCTAGTAAAAAGTAAACGTCTGATTATAAATAACCACGCATGGCAATACGTTCAATTATCAGATTTTTCCTCGGCACAAAACTAAAGAAAAATTTCCAGGAATTTTATTTCCATCCTTTACATCACCACTAAGCCGTCAACTTTCCCATTTTTCAACCCTTCTTATCTAAATCTTATTTTTTGATTACAATGTCAGAATAGGAAATAATAAATAGGTGTTTAATGTATATAAATCGAAACTCGAGTGTTCTAAGCGTATGCCAAATTGACCTCAAATCTGACTTTCGTTTGATCAATGAAGATGTTAAGCAATAATTACATAACTCCATAAATAATTATGCCCTACTATATTCAAATTCGAAAAGGTTTTACAAGGTAGATCGGCTCATAAAAAATGTGCTACCAACTCCTTTTCTAAAAGATTGCTGCCATTCAACGAAGGTTGAAAATTTTTAACAACTGCTTGGGCCTGACAAGCTCTGGCCAGATGAGGACAAATTTTCTGAAAAAATTAGTGTGTATGTATGTACACAAAATGTGACAATAAAATCAACGGCAGTAGGTGGTCAAAAATTCTCAAATGGTATTATTGGGCTTTGTTAATTACGCATTACGCTAATTCTCCTATACAGACACCGACTGGTAATAACTTGTTACTAAATGATATAGTGTGGATACAATGCTCACGCATCTATTTATGTACATACATACGAACTATCACTATGCATATGTATGTACGACGGTGTTTTATTATTGATTTTCAAAATATATGTTCCGCACTGTTTCTGGCCAAACTTTTGATGAAATAACAAACTTCAAATACATTTAGAAGGCTGTGATTTTTTTCAGTTCTGTGGGATAACATCAATACGAGCCATAAATCAGCAAAATTTACCTCGAAAATATCTTAAAATTTACGATTCGACTGCTTTATCATCCGGAAATCGTTTCCCCCTGAAGTTTTTCTTTAAGTTTCGAAACGAATAATAATCACTAAGGGTCAAGTCTGGATTGTACAGTAGGTGGTTTATGGCGCCGAAGCAATTTTCGTCTGCAGCAGCCCTCACAAAAAGTTAGGTGTGAGGTGGCGCATTGGCGAGCAAAAAATGCACTAACTCTATTTTTTGACCTCACGTTACTTTTCAACCGCAGCACGCAGCGCCTTCGGGGTTCCTGCATACGCAGCCTCATTTATCGTAGTATTTCTAGCAATAAATTTGATAAGGTGGGGTCCTTTGGTATCCTAGAAACTGGTCATCCTCAATTTTTTGCCAGATTTTTGCCCTTTTGCTTTCACCAGGGGTGGAGACCCCCCGTGCATCCATTGCATGGATTATTGTTTGGTCTGTGTATCATAATAGTAGACCCAAGTATCATATGCACCTAGTAAAATATCAAGCAGGTTCCAGTTTTCATTTAAAACTTCAAAATTTGCCTCAGGAAAGCCGACTCGATCCGGTTTTTGAGATGAGAAAGCAATTTTGGTACCCAACGGGCGGAAACAATTTTCATACCAAGGTCTTCAGTTAACATAGAAAAAGTTGTTGGTTTTGGAACACCCATCTCATTTGCCAAATTGGACAGTTTCAGTCGTGGATCTCTCATTATTGGTTTTTCTTGGTTATGGAGGTTTTCTGCGGTAGAAACCGATTTTGGGCGCCCTAGCGAATTTTTTTCCGGTACCTCTATTCACCATCATTTGAAGTTATTAACCAAATTTATATTGTGCATTGTGTTGGACAGTCTTCATCGTAAATTTTAAGGATACGATCATAAATCTGCGATACGGATTGCCCCTACAGCATTAAAAATCACATCACACTACGATATTTAATTTGCAAATCTGACATTTTTTCCGTCGAGGTAAAGTTTGCTGATTTATTGCTCGTGTTAATGTTAACTTACAGAACTGAAAAAAAATGACGGCTTCCTAAATGTATCTGAGGTTTGTTATTTCATCAAATGTTTGGTCAGAAACAGTGCGGAGATAGCTTTTGAAAATCAATAATAAAACACCCTCGTATGTATGCTGACTACAAAAAGGCAAAATCCTGCATTATTATTTGTCAAGAAACTTTTATTAATTATCTAGAATCATCAGTCCATTCTCGTTCAATTCGATAGTTTAAAGTTCTAATGCGTATCCCTAGCATTTCTACCCAGTATTAGTAACTGGATATGTATGTACATACAATTCTACACATTTAACTAAGATAACCTACATATTTACTTATTTCACATTCAAATAAACTTTGAATTTTTTTTTAATAAATAAGGACATATCCAGTTATCAGATAAATTTGCAATTTAAGTTATATAGCTTTCTAAATAAATAAAAATTTTCATATATCCCAAATTTAATAAAAAATCGCAAATCATTTACACACTCACAATATGTGCATACGTATTTTTACTTTTCTAGCGTATGCACTCGACAATGTCGGACCAATTGGCAAAAAGTTAAGAATTTCTTCGGACAGAAGTAACATCTATGTCTCTCTGCATTGTGACGTAATTTGTGATAGGCCAAATTGGCTTTCGAGTGGCTCTTGTGCTCGCATTTGTCGCAGGAATGGATCTTATCTTCATTCGTGGCGTGTACCGCCTCCACGTGACGATTCAAATGGTACGAACTGGTAAATCTCTTGGCACAAACTGCGCACGGATAATTCTTCTGATTTTCATGCACACGTCGGATGTGGCGTTGAAGCGTTATCTTATAAAGGAACGTTTGCGGACACCCGTGACACTGCAACCTCTCTCGAGTGGATTTTTCTACGTGCGTCATCTGCAAAATGATTATCTAATGATTATCCATTATCTAATTTTTAATTTATCTACTTAACTTTTTACACAAAATGCTTATTTACCTCGTGACTTTTCATGGTCCATTTTTGGGCAAAACTTCTCCCACAAATGGCACAATTGTACGGCTTCTCAGTCGTATGGGTGGGAATGTGTGCCTCAAGGTGATGCCTCGTTTTGAAATCTTTTTCGCAAAGTGTGCACGGAAATCGAACCGGATTCTCGGCATGATCAGTTTCCCTGTGTTTCAAAATGTCCTTTTTGTACATGAATTTTCTCTCACAGCCTGGAACGCTGCATCCGAAACGAGATCGATACATCGCGTTGTGGATGAAGGCAATATGTCGCCGCAAAGAATCCAGGGAAGAAAACACCCGGTGACAAGTGTCACAACTTGGTCTCTTCCGGTTGCCGTGAATTCTCGATATGTGGCCAGATAAGGTGTCTCTATTTTCGAAAATTTTGCAGCAGACCTATGCAAGACAGAAATGGAAACATGTGAACAAATGTGTTATCATTTCACTTTTTTAAATTTACATCCTCACCTCACATTTGACCTTGGCATCGGGATCGTGCGTGACCATGTGTCTGGTTAGCCTGCGGTTGGTTTCAAACATTTTTGAGCACTTTGAACATTCCCATTCCTTTCCTGGCTTCAAATCCATGTGGATTATGTACTTCTGGGTTTGTAGACTTGGACTCGGAACAAATTTAATTTGGTATCCGTAAGAAAAAAATCGTTTGTATTTACACAATATGTCAAAAATTATTGCCAACAATTCACAAACTTTAATGGATTGACAAACATGAAACACATTTACAGCAAGCTTTAGCTAGCTATCGTTTTATATAAATGTTTTTTTTACTATTTAGCTATCCAATTACCCAACGGTTGTATACATAGCTGTAATTTTTTAAACTTAATTTCTTACCGTGTCTTGTATAGGATTTAGGACTGCTTAATAATTGGTGACTTATGTTGGTGTTGCTTAAGAGTAAGTGAACACGTAAAGTCAATTTTGGGTTCGTGGCGTGTGAAAAGGGTTGCGTTTTGTAACCATAGAGATGAATGAACCCTTGGCACATTCCTGGATAAAAATAATAACCATGCATATGTAACAATACAATCACCCGATTTTTCCTTTTCACAAAAACTAGAAGGGATTTTCCTAAGAGCCTTATTTTCATCCTTTCCATCACCACGGGACCTTCAACCCTTTCCAATTTTTCAACCCTTCTTAATTCGTATTATTTTTCATTGCAGTGCCGCATTATGTAAGAAGTGCATACATATATAAATAAGTATGTACATACGTATATGTACAGTAAAAATTTAATCAAATCTCACTTTAATTTGACCATTTAGGATTTAAAGCAATCAGTCTGTCCACAGACGATAATGTAATATTACATTTTTGGTGTTACGATACAACACAATTTTTAGCAAAAGTCATAATCAGCTCATGCCCACGCTTCCATAAAAATGTGCGACAAGAACCCCTTTATAACAAATTTCTTCCACTCCTTGAACGTTGAATATTTTAAACAATGGCTTTGACGATTTTTAAACCTAATAAACTCTAGCTTATGACCTGATGAACACAAATTGTCTGAAACAAATTGCAGGTTCAAGAAAGTAAGGTTCACAAAATCTAACCAAAAAATCGAATCATCGAAAATTCGCAACTAGTCTCAAGGCTTTGTAAATTAAGCAGTACATGTACTAATTTCGGTATGAAGATTCATACATATAGACATCGACTTCAATAATTTCTCACCAGATTATTTAGAGTGGATACAATGCTTACGCAACGATTTATATAATGCAGACATACAGATTATCACAATAAATATACATGTATGTACATATGCTGGCTAAAGAAGAGAAGAGCCAAAATTACTATTTGCTAAAAAATCCCTATTTATTCATTTAAATAATCAGTCTCGTTCAATTAAATAGCTTAAAATTATACGCTGAAGAGGATGTATGTAAGTAATCACGACAGCGTACTTACATAAGTACTCAACATGGGAATCCAGTTTGCGAAATATTTTTGGTTAAATAAGACCATGTCTAGTTACTAAATAGACCAATTTGTAATTAAAATCATATGGTTCTCGAAATACAAAATTGGTTGCAGGCAACTTTTTTCAACTTTACGTAATTAATTTATTATTATCCTATACTAATCTTCAAAAGTACAAAATAAAAACCCGTGGCCCCACAGACCCCAAAATTATGCGTTGTACTTCTCAAATGTCCCAAATTTAATAACATTTCTTAAATTATTAGAACACCGTTTACATATATAAATACATACATATATTTACTTTTCTAGTGCACTCGACAATGCTTGGCCAATTGGTAAAAAGTGAGGCATTTCCAATTTTGCGTATAATAATGCGTTTAAGTGGACTCGCAGCAGGGTAGGTACTTCTTTCTCATAGCAAAAATAGTTTGCGAAATATTCTAGGGATTCTACGTCTACTATTCTACGTAATAATATTACGTTATAAAAAACGCCGATTTTTATACCAACCACCTACCCCTTCCCTATTATATGTATTACTCTCTTAGGTTGAATACGACGAAGATAACTACCCACCCAACATTTTGATGACGATGTACATCAACAATATAGGTAAATTAGTAGCTATAATCCCATTGCTTTCTACAGGAAAAGATTTGTGTCGTAAATTTAATGAAAACTTCCAAATTGTTGATATGCACTGTAAGAATAAATAACCCCACACGGAGTAAAATTCTATCCATGCCAGAGTTAATAGTGTATGCACTCTCTATGGTGTACGTGGGAGCTTAAAAGCAAAAGAGTTACGCATTTTACTCCGGTTGAATACAGCGTTACTCCCAGCGGAGTAACGCTTCCAGCCAGGGCACTGCGCATTGGTAACCCTCATAGGGGTACTGCTTACTCGGTACCGGGTTCTTTCTGTGAGAGCGGTATATGCAAATAATTTGAAATCTACTTAATTGTCCTTACATAATTTCAATACAAGATTTTATTAATTAATTATCAATTTTAAAATTTCATCCCCCCCCTTTCGATGGCTCTAGTAATTCGTCATCTGCAATATGGTGATCTGAAAATAAGACGGAAAATTCGAATCAAATTTATGAGAATACAATTTATTGTATGATTTGAAAGAATTTCTTAATTATTTATTTACCCTCAATTTTTTACGTATTCCTGTAATCCAAATTGCTGTAGAAGTCCTTGCACTACTTGTGTTGCAATTTTCAAGTGGGGGTGGTTAGAATTAAACGGGGGTCAGAAAATAAATAAAATTCCACTGCCAAAATTACACTCGCAGCGTATGCGGAAGGCGGTTGAGTGGGAACTGAGCTACTTTGTGGCTTCAGCCGGGGAGATTTCCCCGGGTTGGGCGGGGAGATTTCCCCGCCCAACTCGATAACTCTGCCACGGGTAAGATATGCATTGCCAACTCTTTCTGGGGTAAACGCAAGTAAAGTGGCCTAAACAGAGTAAAGTTTGGGCAAACTCGGTGAAGGGTTGGTCACTTTACCCTGTGTAGATTTATCAATACCCCGTACAGTGTATGCAGGCAAGTAACTCAGCGCTAAGTTAGACACATTTCTAAGAGTGTGTAAATTACATACGTAAGTATTTAAACGTTTCTAAAGTATGAACTCGACAATGTCTAACCAATTCGTTACAAGTGATGAATTTCTTCTTACAGAAGTAACATTCGCGATCCGGAGCCTTGTGCCGTCTTGCATGCATCACCAAATAGTGTTTCAAGTGACTCTTCCCGATGCACAATCAGATTCGGCCCGAATGCGTCCCGCATACGATGTTTTCGGTTTAGAGGCGGCCGAAATTATCGCCTCAATTACGACTACGGATAGATTTCTAATTTCAGATTCTATGTAGTAACTCACAGTAGCGGGTGGGCCACCTTCGGTTTCAAAGCTAAAAAAAGATTTCGTTTAACCGACAAATTTATGCTATCGAGCAGAATTCGAGTCCTCGATTTAAATTCCTTCCCACAAAGGTTGCACGGATATCTAACCAGGTTCTCGGCATGTGCATTTTTCACGTGCCGCGAAGCATCGCTTTTGCTTCGGTACGTTTTTTCACAGCCAGGGTACGTACAAGGGAAACGGTGTCGTTCCTTCGCGCTATGGACGGTGTCAATATGTCGCTGTAAGTTAGTCGAGTTGAAAAACACGCGGTGACAAGTGTCACAATTTGGTCGTTTCCGACGATTGATGTGAAGTTTCCACGTGTGGGAACATAAGGCACGTCTGTTTTTGGAAATTAAGGCGCAAACCTATTTAAGACGGAAATGGGCAAATGTGGTTGCAAAATTATGTAGCTCCACTTTTTCCTATTTACATACTCACCTCGCATTTGACCTTAGCATCTGGATCGTGTGTGACCATGTGTCGAGCCAACTCGTTATCGGTTTTAAAAGTTTTTGTACACTTTAAACATTCCATTTTCTTCTATACCTTCAGATCCGGATTGGGTATTTGAAGAGTTGTAAATATTCGTTAGAAATTTGCGTGCCAAAAAATGTAAATTTGTATCTCTAAAAACAATTCGCACACAATGTGTACAGAATTTTCGTCAAAAATTGACGTTTAAAAGAATTGGCGAGCACAAAACAAATTTCTACCAATTTCTACCATCAACTTCGACAATATTTAATATTGTGGGTTTTCGTTATTTTTTCGTATTCGTAAAACAAGTTATGAGAAGGTTATGAAGGTTATGAGATTTTGTTATAAAAATTAAATTAATAAGCTTACGATTTTGGCGAAGCTAGGCTCCTTGTTTTTTCTTCATAAACTACTTTACGATACTAAGGATAAGAAGTAATAATAAATACAATCACTGATTATATTAAAAAATAAATGCTTTATTATTTCGTTATTTATTACCTCGTGTTGTGTAGGATTGGTTAGTTATTTCTTGCTTCTCTACGTGCTGCTTGAGCTTAATAGTACACAAACACGTAAAGTTAATGTTGGTTCGTGTTATGTGAAAAAGGTTGCGTTCTTAAACGAATGAAAAGTTGACAAGCAGTTACAGTTAACAGTTACTGGACAGATGTAACAACCCTTCACCGAAAGGGACCATGCATGCATAGATCATTATGCGATTAGTTTTGGATTTCTGAGCTTCGCCCACAGGAAGGATTTTCATTGATTGACTTTAAGTATTTAACAAATTACATACACATACATTTTTCGGAACATTGCGGTTAATAATATCCGCTATGGTCAAACTTTGACTCCTTTGCATGTGCATTAGCGAAGAAGATTGATAAAAAAAGTCTATTCAATACCGAAGTATGTAAAAAAACCTACTCCAAGCAACTTTGCGGGGCCTTTTCAGATGGCATTAATGCCATCTTGGTAGTTAATGACAACACATTTGGGTGGAAAAGACCCCCACCGGCCAACCACTTGACCGATCATGCCCCTCCGAACTCATCCTTACTTTTGACCCGAAGAACAAGTGTACAAAATTTCAAGTCGATAGAATGTATTTAAAGAGAGTTATCGTGCGTACAGACAGACGGACGGACAGACAGACATCCTGACAAATCTATAAGGCCATCTTAAAAGGCCTAAAAACTGCCCAAAAATGATGTCCAGATGAACTTTTGTTTTCGTAAATTTTCATCTCTAAACTTCTCGTAATGAGGATTTTTATTTCAGTGAAAGTTTTCAATTTATTTGTAGTGTTTTTCGAAACTTTACTAGTCATCATATTTATTTACGGTGAATAAACTCGGCAATGCGTCAACATATGCAAATGAAGTGACATACAGGAAAATTTCTTGAGTATATATGCCCTGAGTATTTCTGAGTTAAAATTAAACTCATAATATAATTATCATTGGGAAACAATTAATTTTAAACTGAGCCCTCCTCGCTAGACGAACTTGCGCCGTACTCCTTCGCCAAAAGATATTCATTCGTCTCCGCCAAAGCATGCATTTTCTGATAGTCTTCCTTCGAGGGTTGGTCCAAATCGGGAAAATTTCTCCACAAGTTTACAAATTTTTCCGCAGTGTGTTCCCATTCACGGCATTGTTCTGCTCAACTGTGACAAGCTGGGAGAACTTACAAGTGCCTAATTCCCACCTAGAAAAATTGTTAATTTTTCAACTGAGCTTTACGAATTGGGCTACTGTTCGTGCAGTATTATTAGTCGCAAAACATTCTGAAAGGTTACCTAGCAGATTATTGATTTCTCAATTAGTAACCAAATAACCTCTCAGAAAATTTTCCAAGAAATTGCGACTATTAATATTGGATGAACAGTAGTGCTCCTCATGAATTCAAGTCGGATTCGACTCCGGGATTCGCATCCCTAGTCCGAGTTGGACTTCCTGTTTCTTAGGATTCACCAATTTCGACTCAGAGTCAGAATGGGGGATTAATTTGGGATTCGCTCCGTCCGAATCGGGATTCATGCGGAGCACTAACAATGCGATGACGCCAGCGGTCCGTCTCCGATTCTGATGAAGCAACGATAATTATGAAGCCTTACTATTAGATGAATAATTAAACACATGTTTCAGGATTTTCATAATGGTCAGTTTAAACAAAATTATTATGGAATCCGTGACCCAGAGTTTGCATTTTCCTCCTCCAATTTTTCTCGTTAAGGAGAAAATTTCGCGGTTACAGATTGCATCATATTTAATTTCGTTTAAACTGACTATTATGAAAAATCCAGAAACATGTATTCTATATAAAGCTTCATAATGATCGTGTTTTCATCAAACTCGGAGCCGCACCGCTGGCGTCATCGCATAGTAAGTTGGACAATAAATTGTTTTATTTATTTAGACCTGATTGCAACATTTAACTGTTGAAATTCGAATAATTTTTTGTCATGTATATAGCAAGGCAAAAAGTGGGCGAAATGTGTAATAAGAGTCTCCACCAAGTAAAGGTATTCGATTTTCGAGGCAACCCTGTAAACATCGGCGCGCTCGTGCAACTCCTGCAAAATAAAGAACTTGTTTGTGTATGAAGATGTGTTTGTGTGGGTCTGATTTCGTTGTGGCTTGGTGATGAGATGGAATGATTGGTGAATTTGAGGATTGCAGAATTGGTTGGCGTGCGAATTGCAGAGATGCACTTGAGGACACTGGTGTCCAGAAAGAAGGGGTGGTCCACGAGATCGGTACTATGTGCCCTTAGTTTGTATTTATTTAGTCATAAAATTGATTTCTTTACAGTAGTTAAAATTGGGGCAATATTGAGACTCAAAGAATAGAGTGACCGTAACTGTGTAGCAGTACATGAAAAGTGGACGGTGAGCAAAAAGATAATTGGGGTTTTATAGGTAGACAGTCAAGGTAAGGTCAAGGTGGTTCAAACTTTGAGTCATGTACATAGATTTCGTAAGATTTAAGAACTTATTGGAACAAGTACAAAATTGAGCAAATTGGATAATTGCATTAGTCTAGTGATAAGATTAAGTTAGTCTAGAAATTAAAATATGAGATAAAACATGAGACATTTGAGTTCATGCGTCAAGGACATACAAAAAGTGCATGAGAAATAATGCTGATGTCAAACATTCCGCCGACCTTGAAATACTACTTCAAAGAATTATAGTATATTACAATGAGAAAATATTGATGCTTATGTGGTATTGTCAATTGGGAGCAAACTTAGTATTACAACCGGTCGTTTAAAGTTTCCAGTTGCAGTCTTGAGAGTGACGACACGTACAATGGAATCGGCACCAGGATGAAGATGAAGAACACGTGCTAATTTCCATTGGAGTGGGGGCAAGTTGTCCTCTTTTATAATGACCATGTCACCTTCCCTTATCTTTCGGTCACCGGACATCCACTTTGGTCGTTGCTGGAGACGAGTAAGGTATTCAGAAGTCCACCTTTTCCAGAAGTGTTGGGTCAATTTCTGAATATGCTGCCAGAGAGATAATCGATTGATGTTGATCTCAGAGAAATTTGGTTCTGGAATGGATGTGCGCGGTGCGCCGATTAGGAAGTGACCAGGGGTGAGAGCGTCCAAATCTTCTGGAGATGAGGACACAGGTGTCAATGGACGCGAGTTGAGAATCGCCTCGATTTGGGCCAATGCTGTTGATAGCATCTCGAAGGTCCATCGTTGCGATCCCATGATTCGTCGTAAATGGTACTTTATGGATTTCACGCCAGCTTCCCAGAGTCCTCCAAAATGTGGGGAGGAAGCAGGGTTGAAGTGCCATTGAACGCCTTCGGATGATAGTTGGTTCGAAATTTGCACGTTGTGATTATTTGATTGGATAAGCTGTAGCATCTCCTTCATTTCACGGTTAGCACCAACGAAGTTGGTACCGTTGTCAGAGTAGATGTCCGTGGGTTTTCCTCGTCTGGAAATGAAGCGACGGAGTGCTGCCATGAAGACCTCGGTGGATAAGCTGCTGACCAGTTCGAAATGGATGGCTCTTGTGGTGCAGCAAACAAAGACAGCTAGCCAGGCCTTGAGAGTCACCTTGCTTCTGGGTTGGAGAGGTCGGATCTGGAACGGCCCTGCATAGTCAACTCCGCGTTTTAGAAATGCACGGGCAGGAGTAACTCGGAAGGAAGGCAAATCTGCCATGATTTGTTGTTGAGTTTCCGCTTTGTGTCGAATGCACACGACGCACCTTCGAATTTGTTGTCGAACTGCATCTCGGGCTCGTATAATCCAAAATCGTCTTTGGAGTGTGGCAAGAAGAAGCTGTTGTCCGGCATGGAGGTTGGTGATGTGATGACTTTGAATAATAAGTTGCGTCAGTTGACCATGGCGTGGGAGTAAAATTGGGTTTCTTTGATCTGGAGAAACCTGTGAATTCTTCAGTCGTCCGCCGACCCTGAGGACACCAGATTCATCAAGGTATGGATTTAATGAGAGTAGGGACGATTTGGAATGTAATGGCAGACTCTTTCGTAACTGAAGTACTTCTCGGGTAAATTGTTGTAGTTGTGATCACTTTGATCCAATGAGTCAGGGATTGGTTAAGTTCCGAATGAGTGAGGGGCGATGAGAAGTTTGGGTTAACTTTCTTTGGCTGAATTCCTTTCACTCTGCATCTCTGGGTGAATCGGAATAGATAGGCAGTGACCCAAATCAACTTCGTGAGGGATGAGAATTTTTCTAATAATTCTGTAGCAGGTTTGGTAAAAGTTGAGTGACAGTGCACTGTTCTTCTTTCTTCCTCGCATACTTGGTTTGGATCAATTAGTACTGGATTGATTACAGGAATGCCACTAGTTAGCCAGTGAGGTCCATGCCACCACAAGGGATGGTTGATGAGGGAAGTGGCTGTCGTTCCACGAGATGCACAATCTGCTGGGTTGTTTTCACCTCGAACGTGACTCCACGACTCTGGGGGAATTTGGGCTTGGATCTTTGTGATTCTGTTCGCCACAAATGTTTGCCATCGTGAGGGATGAGAGCGGATCCAGGCCAGGACCACTGTGGAATCGGTCCAAGCACTGGTTGAATGTATTTGAATGGGAAGGGCTTTTTTGACTGATGTCATGAGGTCAGCTAGGAGAAGAGCACCACAAAGTTCCAGGCGAGGGAGAGACTTGTTTTGCAGGTGCGACTCGAGTCTTAGATGTGACTAATGAGAGAGATGATTGTCCTGTCGTTGAGTAGGCGCAGAGGTACACCACCGCTGCATAAGCCTTTTCCGAGGCATCGCAAAATCCAACAAGGGAGAAATGGTGAGGCGTCTTCTCAGAGCGGTTGAGACTGGGACATACGATCTGGGAACCCGTGAAGAAATGACGAGGGATGTGAAGGGATTCAAGGTCCTTAAGGTCTGTTTGGAAGTGGTTCCATTGTTGTTGGAATGAGTCTGGTAAGGGTTCGTCCCACTGAAGGTCTTCTTTCCACAATGACTGCATGAGTATTTTGGCTGTGATGATGACCGGTGCCAACCATCCTATGGGATCGAATAGTTTGGCAATGTCAGAAAGAACTTTTCTTTTTGATGCAGGATTGGAATTGGGCGATGAATTGATGTGGAATCGGAAGTGATCAGTTTGGGGGCTCCAGCAAATTCCAAGCGTTTTTATGGCTGCGTCTGGGTCAAGGGAGAGAAGGGATTGTGTCTCGCGTGACTCTGGAGGCAATGCATCCAAAACTTCTTGACTGTTAGATGACCATTTGCGGAGATCAAATCCAGCCTGTGTCATTAGTTGGAGGAGTTGGGACTGCGATTCGAGTGCGAGGGATACGGATGGCTCTCCAGACATGAGATCATCCATATACATGTCACGTCTGGCGATTGCAGAAGCAAGTGGAAGGGATTCCTTGTGAATGTCAGCAAGTTCTTGTACGGCACTTACTGCAAGATGAGGGGCTGGTGCGGTCCCATAAGTCACCGTGTTTAATTTGAAATGCTTTATAGGTTGAGATGGATCTTCACGCCAGAGAATGCGTTGAACTTCAGTGTCTGCTTCGGACACCTTGATTTGACGATACATGTTTGCTATATCCGCCGTGAAGGCAATCTTGTGTAGTCGAAACCGGATGAGAATGTCTACGAGGCTGTCCTGAACCGTGGGTCCAACCATGAGAGTGTCATTAAGTGATACTCCATTCGCCGTCTTCGCCGATGCGTCGAATACTACACGAAATTTTGTTGTAGTACTGGAGTCCTTGGTTACGCAGTGATGTGGTATGTAACACACCTTATTTGAGTCGACTTCCAAAGGGGGAACTTCGACCATGTGGCCAAGGGACTCGTATTCTTTCATGAAGTGGTTGTACTCTTGTCGATACGTAGGCTGGTTTTGAAGACGACGCTCTAGGTAGTGAAGTCGTTTGGTAGCAATTTTCATGGATGGGCCACGAGTAGGACACGGAGACTTGAATGGAAGATGTACGATGAAGCGACCATTCTCATCACGACTGTGGGTGGAGGAGAAATGCTTTTGGCAATCTTCTTCCTTGGTGAGGAGTCGAACTGATGGGACTTCTTCGATTTCCCAGAATTTTCGAAGTGTTTGGTTTGTCAGTTCTTGAATTGATGCAGATTGATCACGGGGACAAATGTTGATTGCTTGGGTAGAGTATGGCTGGTGACGTGGACCACTGCTGCTGCTGAGGTGGGATCCACCGCCGATTATCCAACCGAAATCTGTGTTGATGGCGATAGGTGAACCGCTTGGGCCAGTTTTCTTCCCGTCTTTGAGAATGGCGAAGAATAGCTCTGCGCCCAAAAGCATGTCTATCTTTTGAGGTTTGTACCAGGATGGATCAGCAAGCTCTAATCCTTGTAGATGGGACCAGCGAGATGGGTCGTAGCTGATTAGAGGAAGGAATGATGAAATCTTTTTGACAATTAGAGCCTTGATTTCAAATGAAATGGATGGGTCGAATCGAGAGCATACGGTAACCTTGATGTAACCAGATGAGGAACTGACTGGTTCATCCCCGAGACCAGTCGATTCAGCAAAATACTCAATTCGTGGTGCCCTCAGAGTCCTGACGAAGGATTCAGTGACGTAGTGTGTGTTGGATCCTTGGTCGATGAAGATTCTGCAGGGTTGGTTTTGATGCTTGTGGTCTGGAACCATGACTATGGATGTGGCCAACACCGAGTCAAACGCTGGGGGTTCTTCGGTTGTTGGAGGTGAGTGAATGGTGTGGAAAGTCTGCGCCCTGGGTTCCTTCTCTTCGACGGAAGGGTTGGTTGAGGATGATGATGAAGTCGAGTCGGATTTTGTGAAATGGATGAGAGTGTGGTGCTTGCGACCACAAGTCTTGCATACCTTGGTACAGGTACATTGGGCTGCAGAGTGCTCTCCGAGGCAATTGTTGCAGAGATTGTTCTTGCGGACGGCTTCCACGCGTTGTTGGACGGTCCATCCCATGAAGGTTTGGCATTTGAAAATTGAATGGTGCTGGTCCTGACAAAATAGACATTTGCGGCCAGGCTTGGCGTTTTGATGATAAGACTGATGCTTGTTTGAAGGTTTCGCAGATCCACTCGTTTGTGATCTGGTTTGAGGTCGCGATGATGCACCGCTGGCTGAGAGAGCTCGGGCCCTTTGTTCAATGAATTCGAACAAAGACTTGAGGGTGGGGATTGAGGTATTGTTGAGTGATTGTTCCCAAAGCTCCTTGGAATAACTGTCCAACTTCTTAATTACGTAGAATAGTAATATGGCATCCCATTGGTCAGTTGGTAAGCTTAGGACGGTTAAATAACGGATGGATTCTCTGGATATGTCGGCTAGTTGACGAAGGCTTGATGCGGATTGGGCTGTGACCACTGGTTGGTTGTCAAATCTGCGCATCACGGCGAACAGGAGTTCACGGTCGTTTTGGTACCTGTCTTGGAGTTGTTGCCACGCCATGTCGTAGTTGGCGTCGGAAATGATGATTGATGAGACTGATCTGTTAGCTTCTCCTCTCAACAATGATTTGAGATACGTTAACTTTTGAGATTTTGACAGGTTGGTGTTACCGTGTACTGCTGTGATGAACATGTCGCGAAATGGCACCCAGTCTTGAAGGGTTCCGTCGAAGGAGGGCAGCTCAAGACGAGGGAGACGAATGTCGGTAGAGTGGGCGCTGCTTGATGATGAAGTCGAACCTGAAGTGGTTGTGGACGAAGTAGGGAAGGACATCTTGAGACCCGTAAATGACCCCAGGAGCTTGTTTGTCCGTCTGAATAATTCTTGGCACGCTATTTCATGTGGTGCAATGTCGGCAGGGGCAGTATGGATGATGCGTTTGTGGATCTCAATCAGTTCAACTTGAAGGGTTTTCGTCATGGCTAGATTGTGCGTCACTTCGTGTTCGGTTAATGGATTGATGTCGTTTTCCTTTAATTCATCCTGCAGCATCGCTATTTGGGACTTAGTGCTGTCACGGTCGTGTACGGCTTTGTCTAAGTTCGTCGGTGCCATGGTGGCTGAGACGACCTGGGTTGCACAACTGGATCAAGTTATCACACTTTAAGGAACAGGAAAATTGGAGATCCGGTTCGTACGAGACCAAAAATGTTTGTGTATGAAGATGTGTTTGTGTGGGTCTGATTTCGTTGTGGCTTGGTGATGAGATGGAATGATTGGTGAATTTGAGGATTGCAGAATTGGTTGGCGTGCGAATTGGTTGGCGTGCGAATTGCAGAGATGCACTTGAGGACACTGGTGTCCAGAAAGAAGGGGTGGTCCACGAGATCGGTACTATGTGCCCTTAGTTTGTATTTATTTAGTCATAAAATTGATTTCTTTACAGTAGTTAAAATTGGGGCAATATTGAGACTCAAAGAATAGAGTGACCGTAACTGTGTAGCAGTACATGAAAAGTGGACGGTGAGCAAAAAGATAATTGGGGTTTTATAGGTAGACAGTCAAGGTAAGGTCAAGGTGGTTCAAACTTTGAGTCATGTACATAGATTTCGTAAGATTTAAGAACCTATTGGAACAAGTACAAAATTGAGCAAATTGGATAATTGCATTAGTCTAGTGATAAGATTAAGTTAGTCTAGAAATTGAAATATGAGATAAAACATGAGACATTTGAGTTCATGCGTCAAGGACATACAAAAAGTGCATGAGAAATAATGCTGATGTCAAACAGAACTTGATAACGTCAAGTACATTTTCAGTGTAAATTTCCCCGAATATAGAACGTTTCATAAAAGTTGCTAGATTTCTGTTCGTAAATAGGTAATAGACAAGGTTTTGAAAACTGGGTGGGATATTTTTTTGAAATTGTGAAAAAGATGCCGAAGGAAATTGAGTAATTCCACACTTTTGCAAAAAAAACATGCGTCGCGAAAATTTTACCTGCACTTTGTCCAGTGCCACTCCGGTCAATTGATTGTAAAAAGCAATCACAATTCCTACAAGGAACATTGTGAGGACAATTAGGCGGGAAGCCCAGCTACCCAATGGTTCCGATCCAAATTCCAGACTTTTACCGACCTCGTCAAACCCAATTTCGCCTGTCATCATGACCAAGAGAGTCATAAATGGGAGGGGAAGAGAGGAGTTCATTAGTGCCTGGAAAAACCAGGTACAAATTAACCTACATTTAAATACACTATGACCCCTTTTTTAAGCTACGCCTGGATTGTCTAACGAGTTTCATAAAAAAATTAAGCCAAAAATTTGGATTCATGTGGCATTCGTTGAATTGCCCCCTCAAAATTCATATGTCAGTCTTGGTTTTTACCACGTGGAGGGAAAAGTGAGAAAACACTTGGACTTTGCCCTCAATATTTTTCTTCAAAGGGGTCATTCAATGGAAAGACAGTAAATTTTTGTGTAACGGTAGAAATCCAAGCATATCTAGCTTGAAGAAGGGTTCCATTTTCATTCTTAGTTTCTTAACTAGTGTTAATTTACAATGTTGCCTTTCATGGTCCCATCAAATTCGAATATCAGGATTATCGCGGCCATGAATCCCGCCAGAATTACGACGCAACTAAATAACACGTGAATTACTTGTTCAACCACCTGCAATTTTTAAATACAAAATAAATTTTAAAATCATGTGCTTAATTTCTTTGTTCAACAAATGTGCGTGCGATTTATGTATTCACGTTCCAATCAGATTTTTCTTGACAAATGCAATTTAAAAATTTAATTTCAAGCGAAAGGCTTAAGGTTTTTATGAGTGTTCTCGTTTTGGATAATTTTCGACTAATCTAAAAAAGTGTAATAATCCTAATCCAGGATTAGGATCATAACGGGGATTAGTAATAGTTCTATTGTTCTATGTATTTAGAAGTCACAAAAAAAATCTCGGTCCAACATGGTTTGCACTCTCAATGCGAGCTTTCTGTTCCAACCTGTCTCAAAATGTCGATAGATTGTCCAATAATTCGGTGAAAATTTCTAAGATGTCGCATCGTCAAGATTAAAGATAGCAGAATGCCGACCTGTTTATGTAATTAATTGAAAACTTTAATCCAACGTTATTCAGTAACAATGAAACATTGGAAAATATTCTTTACCGCTGCTAACGATTTGTCCACCAAGACGACAGAGAGAATCAAAGAAAAATTGCGTAATAGTTGTACCACGTTTGTAAAGTTTTGTACATAACGTTCAATTCCTTTTCCAAAACATTCGTAAACCTCGTACACGGTGGAGTAGAATGTGTAGATTAAGATTGATGTGAAACAAAGCCAGTGTCGGTGGTTATTTATGAGCAGCCAGAAATACCAGAAAATCATTGTTATCCAGATGAACTATTTACGAAAAGAAAAAAGGGCATCTTAATAACTTTGCACCGCGTTATTCGAATGAATTTATACACATGCACAATTATGAGAAATTTTTAACCTGTATTAATAACAACGTCCTCATTATCGCTTGCAACTTCCGGCTTTTTTCGTGCACAAAGAAAAGCATGGCAGGATGCAGCAGAAGTGCCTTTTGCTGCTCTTTGCTCCAAGACGGAACAGATTTGCGAACATTTTCAGTTTCCGGTGTTTTGGAACCGTTTTCATAAATTCCTGTAATATAACTGCTGGTTTCTGGTGAGATTAGTAGTAAAGTTGCAGTGAAATAAGGTGCGAAATTATGAAATTAGTCACCTCACCTAACCGTACACTCCAGCTTCCCCCTGTCTTTCTTATTGTAGGAAAAGGAGTTATCCATCTGATAATGTAGCACGGCCGGGTAAGCCGCAAACCAAGCGTGATGCGATGGCTTATTCAGTCTTAACGTTGCATCAAAATTAAATATGAAAATCGTTGACATACTACATATACATCCACGCAAGATTGAGCTTTTACAGAAATTGAGAATTTCGAGAAACTATGCTACGGTTAGTCTCAAACTTCCTCAACTCATGTTGATAGGGAAGTCAGTGGCGAAGGTTCTCAGAATTCTCAATTTCTGTAAAAGTTCAATCCTGCGTGGATTTAGAGCGTTTTTTTTAGTAAGTAAATATCAATGTTATTAAATAGTGTCAGCTACTTTATGTTATCGTTTTGTCTGTCCGTCCGTGGGCAGAATATCGCAAGATATTCTCCAGAACATAATCAAACACACTATGCGCTATTACGCTTCTAATTTTTAGTTCACGGTCAAGTTCGAAAACGCGGTTAAGGTCAGGTCACCTTGAGGTCAGACGCCAAAACAGAACGTGGATTTCACACCCGGTGTCGTTTTAAACAAAATTTCACAATGAAATCAACGACGTCAAAAATACTCATCGTGACTATAATACCGATTGGTAAATATTTAATTACCACGGTTATCATACCTAGTGGTGCCATATGTTATGTACAATGCATTCCGCTCGAAGATAAAATTAGTTGGAGCTACTTTAGGGAGTTGTACTATTTTTTATTGAAATCCCCATGCAATTGTCAATCAGAAACCATCTTCCTAATTTTTTTGTGACCCAAGGTGCCAAAGTGACAGATCGGCCAAACCGACGTATTGCAATTTTTGAGCAACATTTTAGTAAACAAAAAAATCCGGCGTTTTTCAATTGCTCGATAAAAATCGGAACTGAACGCATGATGGTCGACCGTACCACAAAATGATCAACTGGCTGTGATGACTACTGAAAAACAAGTGGAAACAGACTGTCAAAAAGGTCACCAAAATTCACGAAGGGCCGAAAAAATGGATTCGCCCAAATCCATGCCGAGCTCTAAGAAAATTTCCCTCACAAATGAACGGATGAAGTAAAAGTAAGTCCAAAGCCCTTAAACTAAACCTTGGACTTGTGTCTTCACGACTTAAGGAGAAAAGCTTCCTAGCTACACGCCAAGTAAAACCAGACCCATTAGAACCCATGCGCCGATCATGCGGTACGCGCTTGAAACATGGAATTGCTCGACTTTGATCGGCCAAGCCCACTTTTGTGATTGAGGTCAAATAAAATAGAAAAAGGACCGTTTTCATACCCACCCGGTCCAGACTATTCACAAAAATTTCAAAAACGTTGATTGGATCCACCATCGTGCTTCTGTGATTTTCTTAGTGTGCATAAGTTGGATTTGATCGAAAAATGATTTATCTTCTTCTGGGGGTGAACTGGAGTGTCAAAAAATATTTGTTGAAGTTATCGAGCGAAATGTGGAACCCCTGAACCACTCTCAATTCAATAACACCCACTAGACGTTCAAGGAGGGTTCAGGTGCTGCGCATGAGGCCAAAATTGAAAAATGGTGGTTGAAATCCAAAATTCTTGACTCCATTTAGGATTAAGAATAAAATTCACTGTAGCCGAAAATCAGCCTTCTGGAATATGACATGTGGTTCAAACTGAAGCTAGATACATGTGCTAAACCACATACAAGTTTGGAATCCAAGAAAAAATCTATCGCTTAGAAATGAGATTAATAATCCTTGGAACGAGTGCGAACCGCGAATGACATGAGAATTCCTAAACTTTGGGCCAGTGTCGCTTCGGAAAGAGGAAATTTTGAAAACTAGTTTGTCTATTTTGAAGAGAATTTAGTGGGCTTTCTCGTGATATCGTTATTTTTTCAAAATTCAATAAACCTAGCCGGGTATATTCATTTATGTAGTCTACAAAACATATGACACTACTGGGTATATTTGTAATTATTCCGATTTACTGTACCAAAGTAATATATCAGGCAATGTTGAACCACTTACGCATCGTATTTGAAAATGGCGCTGGATCTAAGTACCGTGTCCATTAGGGTCTTCATCGCCCAATCGGAACAGTTCGTTTGAGCATAGTCGAACACAGTTTTTAAATCGGTATCACAATCCTCGAGTACATCTTTTGGATCGTACCCCTTAAACTTTCTTGACCGTGGGAAAAGTGCGAACACACATTGGTTTCCTTTGTCACTTAGACCTGGTTAAAAAACCTGTTTCAATTTCTTCTAAAAATTTTAATGAACGTCCCGTTTCAAATATTATAATTAGACAGTACCATTAATAACGGCATAAAATAGTGCTGTCCGACCGAAGCCGTCTTTCCATTTTAAATCAAGATCCCCGACCTTGACAAGTTCTTTGACGGCTTTAGGTTGGCGGTTCTGCACGGCGATTTTCAGCGCGGTTATCTTCTCACCGTTTGGCTGCACCTTGATTTGGTTGATGCGATGGGCTTCATGTTTTAAAATTCGCCTCAAAATTTTTATTCTCGTTTTGCTTTCACCTGTAGCCAAAAATATATAGCTAAATTGTTATGTTAATTAATACAGAATGGCGTTGAAATTATTCTATATCTGGGACGCAACATTTTGAGTTTAACGGCAACTAAATCACACTAACTTAGGGCGTCCTTAGTTGCCGTTACAATTAAATGTATTTACTTTACAAATTTTACTTTTTCTATATTTAAATTTAGTAAGGAAAATATATTGTATGTAGGTATCTAAAAACAAGTTTACTACACAAGTCGTCTAAACGGGTTTGGGATGAGTCTAGGGCTATGAAATCCAGCGCCAAGCTCAAACGATAGCCCACACACGACGGCTTACGGATGATGGCCTCCCCCCAATAGCCTCCCAGTAATGACCTCCGACCAATAGCCTCCTGAGGAAATTGGCCTCCCTTACCAATGGCCTCCCAACCAATCTCCTTCCTGGCCAATCGCCTCCCACCCAAAATCCTCCCATGATAAATACACGTATTGTTTTCAATACTTAACTTATCCAAATCTTAATTGTGTCATCATCGCTATTTAGTCATCAGTGAGAAAGCGTTACTCATCAATATGTAAAAGCACATATTTGTTCGTCAATCATTTCGTCTGAGAATTCTTGTTTAAATTACATATTTGCGGTTACCATCATCCAATATTCATCATTTTACCTTACGCATGCAAACGAGTTTTAAAATCTCCAGTTGCTTTGTTCTCATCACTAATATGTAAAAAGTATATATTTCTAGTCACCATCATCCAGCATTCATTACTTTTACTTGTACGCATGCTAACAAGTAAAAGTACAAAAGTAACGAGTAAAAGTACAGTGTCGTTTGCATGCGTGCAGGTGAAAATGATGAATGTTGGATGATGGTAAATATGTACAAATACGTGTGCTTTTACATATTAGTGATCAGAATAAAGAAACTGGAGATTTTTACTCTCGTTTGCATGCTTACAAGTAAAAGTGATGAATGCTGGATGATGGTGACCATAAATAGGTACTTTACATATTAGTGATGAGAACAAAGAAACTGGAGATTTTTACACTGGTTTGTATGCGTACATTGTTTTCATCACTAACATGTAAAAGTGCATATTTCTAGTTACCATCATTCAGCATTCACCGTTTTTACTTACGCATGCAAATTGCAGTTTAAATGTCAATTTGCTCACATCAAAGAAATGAAATGGACAAGTCGTGAGGGTATATATTAAGCCAGGTTTTAGGCAATTGTGTACACATGGATTAAGCTATAGTCGAAACCCTGGGTCTTTGTACTAATATTATATAATGACAACTTTTCAAAAATTGGTGATGACACAATTAAGGTTTGAATAAGGTAAATATTAAAAACAATGCGTGTATTTATCATGGGAGGATATTGGGTGGGAGGCGATTGGCCTGGGAGGCCATTGGTAAGGGAGGCCAATTTCCTCAGGAGGCTATTGGTCGGAGGTCATTACTGGGAGGCCATTGGGGGGAGGCTATTGAGGGGAGGGGGTTTTCCGCAATTCACACACGACACTACCCTCTTCCTGTTTAGAAGATGCTCAAAATGCAAGGTGTACCGTCCGTAAAAATTAGAAATCTTACAATTCAATCCACAAATAAAGTGGAGGATAGGCAACTCCTCGTTCACCGCCATCGGAGCAACAGCATAATATTGCAGCAATTTTTTGACGGTGGACAAATTATTAGATTTCACCCCATAGTGCAATGCTGTCCAGCCCATACGGTTTTTCATATCGATGAGAAGCCCAGGCTCGCCGGAGGCTTGGAGAAGAATTCCGATACAATCTAGCGCTGCTTTCCGCTCCCTGATTTTAGACTCCCATATGCAAGCGAGGTGGAGGGCAGTGTTACCATTTTCGTCCACCGTGAAACAAAATTCGCTTGGATTGCCGCATTCGTTCAAAAGAGCGGCAAGAATTTTAGGTTTGAAATGCATCGCCGCCAAGTGAAGGGCAGTGTAGGAAGTGTTCATGGTGGAAAAGAGGAGGTCAATTCCGTAGTGACAAATGAGGGTGGAGATTTGAACCCTGGCATCGTCGGAATCAAGAGCTGTGGTAGTAACTCGAATTTACTATATGTATTTAAAGTGTAAATTTAAACGTGATAACAAAATTGTCACCGGTTGGTAATACGTATTCAACTTGACATATGTATAAAGGTATTAATAATTGTGCTTGGTGTTAAGATCAATTTGGCACGTCGTTATGATAAATTTCAAAATTTGTGAGAAATTATTATGTTTGTAGTACCATTCGGTGACAATTTAGTCACAATGGCAATAATTAAAGGTTTTGTAGAGAAATATGCAATTTACCATTTTCGACGAACAAATGGAGAACATTTCTCCCTTCAGCGTCCGGAATGTTGGGGGGAAGAGGATCATGAGGCATATTTTCGTAAGCCATTAGTATGAATATCTATGTAGCTATATAAATAAATACATAAATTGATAGTTAAAGGAATATTAATGCTTTGAGTTTAAATAATATGCATATTTAAAAAATATTGTATTTGCATACATAGGCGTGCGAATTCTTTGTATCAGAAATTGTATATTTATGTATGTACACATTTATTTGCAAAATTCAAAGGCATCGAAAAATCAGAAAAATTATATATGTACATAAATATTTACATAAGTCGAATATATAAAATCCCATCTTAAAATAAAATGTATGTAGCGTCAGGTATCGCAAAATTGTGCGCACTTTTGGGTGTATTTTTTACAATTTCTTTTCAACCCTTTTTGTCAGAATTTATCACAAAATTTTCATTGCACAAATTATTTTACAAATCAGTATGTAGCCAAAATTCAAATTAAAAAACACAAAAGATATACATTACATAAAATATGTAAATGCAAATACATATTAATGTACATAAGTAAATATAAAATACGTTAAGCGTTTATTTGTGACTTACAATGGAACCTTTTTTCAAGCTACGCTGGGATCGATTAGCGAGTTATGTCAAAAAATCAAGCAAAAAATTAGGAGTCACGTGGCACTTATCTTTCTGTTGAATGGCCTCTTTGAAGAATAACATTGGCGGTTAAGTTCAATTTTTGAGCAAATTTCCTCTTGCTTTTTCTTCCGCGGGGCGAAAACCAGGGAGGAATGCGAACTTTGACCCCCAATATTTTTCTTTAAAGAGGCCATTCAACGGAAAGATAGGTGTCATTTGAGTCCTAATTTTTGGTTTGATTTTTTAACATAACTCGCTAGTCGATCCCGGTGTAGCTTGAAAAAAGGTTCCATTGTTAGAAATTGACTAGAGAATTGAAGAGTCAGGTTCAAAATATGTACATATTTCCTGATTGATAATTATCAATAAAACTCCTTCAAGAATTTCTTTTCGGGGCTTTGAGCAGGGGCACATTCCATTTTTCCCAATAGTCTTTCTTCAATATTTCTGCAACCATAGAAAATTTTATCCAGTGTGAAACACACAAAAAGGAATCTAAGCTTGCCCCAAGGATTATGAAATCAACCTGCAATCATGCAGAAGCCGCTTTTCTTCAGAATTTCATACAATTTCGCCAGCGTGGCGGTTCCCTCTTCCGCACAAAGGACCCAAGCAGTCAGAATTTTTTGAATAAAGCCGCAATATGAGAGCGTCTCAGTTTGGACTTGTCTCTCCCAGCGGTCCGCCTCACTCCTATTGATTCCCAAGAAGGGGCATAAGCTCTTCCAATTTTCGACAAGGAGTGAATCCTATACTAATAATTTAGATATGTTGCGCAGTATGCCTTCCTCGTATAAGTCAGGATTTTTCCCGTCCCTGGGGTAATTTAATACAAAGTTAGGATTATGTGTGACGAGCCAAATTTAAACAATGCGATTCAGTCCACTATAGATTTTGTAACGCAGTAAAGATTTGTAAAGTAATTTATGTTGCTCATTCTCACAATGTTTAAATGAATGATTTGATCCGGGTAATGTGTATTTATTTAGTCATGCATTGTTTTCTACAAAATGGAATATTTGCAGTGTTTTGAAGAACATTTTTGTAATCTTATGAACAACGAATGCATAACTAATGGTCCTACACACAGGAAACGTCATTAAGAAAGTAATGTAATTACTACAACAGTACGCATTTTTTGTAGAAATTTTATAAATTTCAGATTCATAAATTGTATAAACTTTCAATTTGTAACGTTTTCCCTAACTTTTATGCACCAAAGCGACGCTTTCTATTTTTGCATTGTACATCGCAACTCACTTAGAAAATACTTAAATCGCGAAATATTCTTGGTAAATCCCACGGGAATACATTTGCAAAACTTCGCATTTGGGTAAATATACATTTGTTTTTGCTTGAATTTCCTTCGAAATTTTTTTATGAAGCCTCGTAACTCTACAATTTTTTACTGCGGCACAAATATCCAAGTGAATTGATGCGGCATGAGTATAAATTTGTATTGACATGCTAACCGGACAATTGGGCGAGCATCTTTACCCTTGCCGACCCAATAAAGCCGATCAGTGGCTTTAGCGGCTAAAGCAGTCGCACCCAAAGGAAGTAATAAGGGCCCCAATGTTATTGCACTGACACCCACTCCGACACCTTTAAGCCCCGGGGTGATTCCCGCCGTGAAGGCTTCCCATGTGGAAGGTTTTTCTACAGTTGGTCGCTTATTTCCTTTTTTGGAAGCCATGCCTACCAAGAAAAAATATAGTAAGGAATCATAACTACTTGGCAGATATAAAATTAAGGAAAATTTTAAATATTCAAGTAATAAATAACGATAGAAATCTAAAATTGTAAAATTACGAAATTATTCAAGAAATATTAATGGTTAAAATAATAAAATCGAAATTGCGAAATTTTAAAACCACAAACTGAGCTTGTAAAATTATGAAATTTCAAATATAACATTTTAAATTATGAAATTATTAAAAATGAAAATTGAATATTTTACTATTTCTTTGTCATGTTTTATATTTTCTTTGGAGACAAAAAGGAACTCGATTGCAGATTTCATGATTCTATTGAAATCGTTCCATATTTTTGGGAAAAGTTGCTTTTATAAAAACCATATTATTACCAAACATTCCTAGCTTCTGACATAATTAATCCTTGGAAACTCTAGCCTCCTCATCCTACACACTAACCGGGACAGATTTATGTACTTTGTACGAAAACAGGTTGCCACGACATTAACCAGAAAGTGAGCTGGGTGGCCTCATGTAAACAGAGCAATTAATTTAATCTGAAGCCCGTCTTCGGATTGTTTATCGCACCGAGAGAGTGAAAAAGTAAGCCACCTTTCCCATGAATCTGAGTAAATGGAATGAGCTCAGTAAACCTTGGAGAAAAAAAACTCGATATAAATAGAATCTTTGGGTACGTTTTGAACGTAGGAGACCGTGCATAAGGGATGCCGCATATGGATATAAGTCGGGTTTGGGTCAAACTATCAGATATTTTTCAAAGGCAAGTTACATATGAACTACAATATCTTTTTGTTGATGGTGAGATTAAAATTGCCGCAGAATCAATTACATGCTTAGTGCACGGCCCGTAAGGAGTCCCTCATTTACTTCGGTATTTGCTCTTCATTTGCGAACTAATGTGTAAGAATAAGAATATGTAGCTGATGTGGTTCGAGACATAAAATAACTTTTCAATTTCCACGAATTAAAAATTGTGATTACATAAATAAAGCGTTACATGGATACTTTTTTGTCCTAATATTTGCAGTGGCCGCGGAAGCCGTGGGAACATTAACGTTAGAGGGAGTGGCCTATAATTCTAAATAACATAGACAAATGATGAAGACATTGAACAACCGAGGGGACATTATCCTATGTCGCCACGCTTCCGCGACCACTGGATGAATACTTAACTGGGAATAGTGCGTATTTATGTGGATAAATATTCTTGCTTTCTAAATTTCAAGCATATGCAAATTTCCGAAATGGAATATTTCTAACAAAATTCAAACTAAACTTTACTTGCAGTCGTTAAAAAATTGAGACCGATAAGGACTTAAATATACATACTTATTTAATGAACAAATATACAGATAGCGTACCTTACAAGACACGGATTTGGTTTGAATATCGTCACACCACGATTGTTGAAATTTATTTTTTCCACAATTGCAAAATAAATTTATTAATAAGCCATATAAAAAATTTCCAATTTGTAATACTTATTTATTTACAATAAAACTTTTCACTGTGTATTTAGCAGAAACTTATCAATATATTTAAATTTGCAATAAAATTTTGCACTTTGTTCCGCATTACTACACTTTTGAGTCGCACTTGATGGCAACTGAACCATGTTATAAAATCGAACCGTAATTTAATTTATATAATTCTGCTTGGGAAAATGCCAGACTGATTCCGAGCACTTTATACATAAACACATGGAGTGAGTAAGAACATATTCGCATGTTTCTCGAACATGTCAAACAGTCGATAATTTATTGTTTCATCCTTCGCTGAAAAATGTATGACTACATATTTATTAACCAGGGTACGTAAGAAATAGTAGTTTTCAGATAAATTTTTGTGGTAATAATCATTCATTCGTACATACATACATACTTATTTACCATATTTTACTAATATTCCCCATTGAAATTAAGAATTATTTTGGGATCCAAACTGCTCGAAAAATTGTGGTCAAATGTAAGAAACATTTTGCTGTTTTTCATCCCTAAATATACATATTCAGGTTGCGAACACTGTTTATCATCCTACCTACTTACTTGAAAGTGTAACGAAGAGTTTGCTTGTTTTATCTCAATTCGGAACAACAGATATTTATGTTTCTAAACGAAGCAGACTTTTAGCTCAAGCTACACGTAGGCATGTAATATGTATGTGTGCGCCATGCGTGCATAGGTACTTTGGTACTTATGATGGAATTATTTATGTACATATGTATGCATACCTATTTATGTAGGTACCAGGAATGCAAATTTAAGTATTTGTTCTTTTTAAAGTGGTCCATTGAAATTCGAGTATGTACATATTTATGTACTCGCAAAAATATGCGCATAAAAAATTATGTTCATGAGTCTTGACTTTGACGATGTATCGTACAAATACACGGTTAGAAATCTGATACAATCAGGCAGGTCTTGAATTCTCGGTACCGCTTGGTATGAAAATTACACCAGTTCGTAAAAATTTGCTTATGCTGAAACAACCTCGCCCGTCGGAATACCTTTTCATTCCCTTACTTGAAATACGAAATAAATAATAAAAAAACAGGTACAACTTTATGAACAATTGAACAAATTTATTTAAGCAATACAAGCTTGTTTTTTTATTCCAAAGAAGTATGATTATACTGAAAAAGGCGTTATCAAAAATTCAATTTTAACAGCTTTGTGTTATTTTAGCTTATCTTATATCTAATATTTAACCAATGATAACATCTTATTCCAATGAAGTGTTAGCAGACCCTTTTTCGCGGGCCTCTTTGTCGCGAGCCTGCATATATTGAATATTCCTCTCAAGACTTCGGGATAATGAAGACGACGCCATTTCAACATGGGCCTCGTAGCGCTTGAGATCTCGAACGTCGTGTTTTAACGATTCCAACGCCGCTTGTAATCGTGTCAATTGAATTTCTTGGTCCTTCTGCTCCAACCGTATGGTCCTTAGCGCCTTTTTGCTTGTTTCTTCTACTAAGTGATTTTCGACTAGGGTTCCAAGTATAAAGAGACCACCGCCCAAAATAAGGCCTGCAAAGTATACATAGATAAAGATATATTTAGGGTAATAATAATTTCAAAACTTAATCTTTGCATATACAGATTTTGGATCACTTTTTGGCACTTTTTGGTATTTTTAACTCTGAGAATTAAGGATGGAGCTTGTTCGTGTCAAGCTGATATATGTCATATTTGTCACAACTCCAATCTTACAAATTAAAATTTATGAAAATTTGAACCCGTTTGATTTGTCGCAAATTTTAAATGACTAGCAAATTATGCATTCCTGACATGTCCATGTGTAAATTTCTCAATGACATATCACCACCGCACATCCCTAGTGAGAATGCGTAAGGATAAGAAGCTTAGTCAAATTCAGAACTATCTTTTTGTGATACTTGAAAACATAAAATTTCACATTTTTTTAAAAATATTTTTGAAAACATCGTTATCTAATTTCGCATTTGAAAAGGTTGGGGGCCGTTCATAAATTGTGTAACGCGAGAGGGGGAGGGGGCTCTAAGGCTCCAAGGGTACCTGTGTGACACATGTTAAAAGAGAGGGTTAAAAAATCGCGATTTTTGAGTTTGATAATTTATGAACGGTCCCTTTAATGCTGCGCAAGGATTTTCAAAATATGACCAGCATTCTAATTTTGGCAATGAATAGATACAGGGTTTCTGTTTATTTTCTAACTGATGTTGCACGTCTGACGAACGTCAATGGGGTAAACTGCTATACCATTTTACATATCATAACGTAATACTGACCTTTTTTAGCTGCTTCGGCCAGTTCGGGAAACTTTGTGAAAAAATTTGCAAACATTTTCAGGGTAATCGAGCCGCAACGATTATATTTTGCTGAAAAAATAGAATTTTGCTGTAAAATTTACATGAACAAGCTCATATATGTAAACACAAACTGAAATTTACTAGTAATTAAATGATGAAATTCTTTTACGAGTTGGAATTCAGACAGTTGCTTTTACCGTGATTTGTAATCTCTAATATTTATGGTGCTCGAGAATGACGTACATACATATTTGCACTTACTTGAACTGAAATGCAGCCTGGGTTGATTTTATTTGTCGCAGATGTTGTATCCAATGTGGCAGAGCACGCTTTTTACCAGTAATATTTCACCGTGCTAATTATCTTGTTAAAACCAGTTGATGGAATGGAATCGGGGGATGAATTTCAACGCTAAAAATAAATAATGAAAGACACTCAATAATTTAATTATACTTACATATTTACTTGTTAAATCGTGAAAAATTATTTTCTTTATACATACTTGCAATGCAAATAGTGAATAAAACTGACTGACGAAATACAAAAAATCTCATTAAAAACAAAAATTGCACTGTAGATATATATATAAATAAATTTGTCCAATTTTATTAAAGTTACTGAAAATCTTTTTCATAATATAGAAATAGAAAGCGTGAAATTATAAATATACTTACCTAATAAGTAGAACCAGAAATGTGATAATCACGGGAGAATATGTGCAAGAGTGCAAGATTTATTACATATACTGACAGGAAACAAAAATATGTGCACATGTGATGATGAAAATAATGACGCAACTGGCGTCCGTTATTTCGTCAGATTTTTAATTTCTTAAGCAAGGAGGTTTTCGTGTATGAAAACTTTGTATGATTTTATTCTGAAATACATATGTACATATGCAATTTGCATAATGCAAGGTAAAGTTGAAAAAGGTTACTCCCGACAAGCCCAAAATCAAAGTATGACCCATTTTTTTGTCTTTGAATTAAGAGTCCGTCAAAACTGAACCGTAATACGATCCGTTTGTACATACATATATATAAATCGTATAAAGAGACGAAAATAAGCTAAGCAAGGTATTTAATTACCAAATTTTAACATTTAAACTATAAATCCTAAATTTATCTAATATTTAAATAACTAGTATAAACTATGTAACATTAATACGAATTTATTAGCCTTCAAAATATAATGTCTTTAATAGATTTTGCTTATTTAAACAAGTAAAGGTCCCTAAAAAGGGAAATCTTAGCGAGGCTTCGGTGCAACTATAACTATTAAAAATATATCTACCAATTGTTAATTTTTAAGTTTTAAGCATGGATGGTTGTCAACGACAGTTAATTTTTTACCACTGCATAATTTCTATCCATTTTGTAGATTTCAAACTTAATTAACTACGTCATTTTCTAACAAATTTTGGTTATATTTATATCAAAATTTGCGTAATAACTAGATCTAAAATGATTGCAATTGATATTGGACATATTATGCTTCGGTAATTAACTAAAAATCAAAAGGTGTTTCCAAGAGCACATTTTTGCTCATAAGTCGAGTAAAAATCACAAATTCACCAAACCGGTTCGCATATCGTTTGTAAATTCCGTAACAATGATTTGTGTTAAATTTCATCAAAATCGGTTGAGAAATGACTGAGAGATCGCAAGTGGTCACTTTTTTGGGGTGGGGTAAATGCATACTTACAATGGAGGCGCAAACCATGTTCAACCCAGATAATTTTTGACCTTATTAGTTTGAAAGAGCAAGTCTTTACAAACAACATTTGGTTCACCACTTGCGCAGATACGCAAAATTCAGCAAGTTATGGGCGCCACAAGTTCGCAAAAACGCATGATTTTTGATGCAAGGTCCAGCGCCCACTCTCGACCACTTTTTGCGAACTTGTGGCGCCCATAACTTGCTGAATTTTGCGCATCTGCGCAAGTGGTGAACCAAATGTTGTTTCTAGAGACTTGCTCTTCCAAACTAACATGGTCAAAAAATAATCTGGGCTGAACATGGTTTGCGCCTCCATTGTTAGTAATTTTTTCCCGTTGTTAGGTATTTGCCTCACTAAGAAAAATTACTGAATGAAATATTGATTACAATATGATCAACATGTACATATGATTGTGAAAACTTTTAGCATGATCGACGCGTATACTGATGACATATTTCCATATAATTTCGTTCCTGTACAATTATATCAATAAACTTATTCCGCACGCATGTTGATATATTTACATAAACATTCCAAAACTAGAAAAGTCGCTGCCACAACTAATAATGACGCACATAAGGCAAACGCATACTTCATCGCATTAAACGACACAGAACTCGCCTCCATAAAATTTATCTCTTTTTCTGACTCGGACATCTTTTTAGCAGAAAACATCTTAAACTCCTTTATTGTCAAAATATTTTTCGCATAGTTTCGTTGGATGTCCGCATTTTTATATTTTTGCCACTGGTAGTAAATTCCAGATTGAAGTAGGTGCCCCAATTCTTCGGAGAACATCGGGTATAGAAAGTTCCTTTTCCCATGCCACGGAACTAAACTCACGAATGGCGTGATAGCATGATTTCTTAGGACGATCGGGTTAGAAAACATGGTTAAGGATTCAATCAGTGTGTTCAATTCGTATATTCGATCCAGAATAACGAAGGGAAGTTGGATGGAAACTGATGTTGCATTTTCTGAGGTGATCCCATAATTGCGACTGATATTGAAGCCAATTTCAAATATATTTCCGGTTAAGAATTGCGTACGTTGATTCAACGTTTGGAGAAACTTTGTCGAACTTGGAGAGTTTGAAGCTCGCAATAAATCAGGGATCATGGCTGCACTCAAGGTTGATTTGATGGCCTTAAGTCCGTTGAAATCCGTGGTCACTTGGGACATTGTAACAATGTCAAAATCCGTGTGTACCAATAGATCCGCTAGTTCTTGAGGGACGTTGGGAATTCCGATGGATGTCATGCATGAGCAGAGAGCTCCCTGGTAAAAGTTCCCTAGAACAAAGACTGTCGCGTACCAAACACCTGTGAAAATCAGGACCCGACCTCTTCGAGAAATTCTTCCTATCCGCATATCAGGTTGCCCAAATATTGTGGAAATTATCCGATACAGCTGATTCCAAACTGTACTAAGAATTTTCAGAAAGCTATCTCCTCTCCCTAAATTAAATCCTGTCGACGCTACCACCACCCCGATCAGCGTCGCGATACTCAGTGTCCATGTCCACTTATCAAACGGCATCATCAAGGTTCCAAAGGACATCTCCCTTTGGACAACCACCACGAAGGTGAATGGTATGTAATTTATGGCGTAATTGTACCACACTGTCTTGGTCAGAGACCTCTGCATTATGTTGAGTTCGTTAAACCTTTTGTCCGCCAAGGTATTGTAGATGGGCCTACTTGCGATGATCACATTTCTGGAGAAACTCCCATCGGGGGCTACATCAGCGCGGTAAACTTCATATGAAAAGTTATGCTTCTCCAAGATAACGGCCTCCGCACATATTTCCTCATCCAATTTGACCCTGCCGAAATTAGCGATACAATTTTCCCTCGCCAGAAATGGGACGTTCATACCAATTATGTTGCTCGTCCCGGAAACTATTGCGTTACGGAAATTTTGCGTGTTCCGCTGTTTCCACAAGTTAGAGATATCGCTCAGTTTCGAGATATCATGCATCAGAGCAACCTTTGATTTGCACGGGTGACACATTATATGTGCAGGATACCCGGATCCAAAAATGACGATGTGTGACGTTACCGTAGTATCTGGGGGGAAATGTGAAATGATTCTTGAAATCTTGAAGTCTAAGTGGATGAAGGCATAGGTCGGATTTTCGTTGGCGAAAATGATAGCGTTAAATATATTGGCGAGGATGGCAGTTCTACCGTGTACTTCGTGTTTCTGTAATGGCCCGTCATACCGAATAGTGGGAGTGAGTAGGAAGGTGATAAAATCTGTGTGACCTAGTCGGGAACAATATTTGAAAATTTTCACGTTAACAGATGAGTTAAGGATACGATAGAGATTGTAGCGGGAAGTGGTGGTATCCCAGTTTTCGACGTTATCGAGAAACAGAGGTGTGTATGAATTAGTGGAAATTATTATGAAGAAGATTGCAGTCTGGGTTTGATCTAAATCTTGAAAATCTGAGATAAACTGAAGGGTTCGTAATTCGATTGGTTCATGAAGGAAACGATTTTATTCTATGGTTGTAATAAGGGTAGCAAAATTGCGATGAGATTGCTTAAATTGGCCATATTTGTATGCAAATTGCAGAGTTTACGAAAACATCGAACGCAGAAAGGTAACTAAGTGAATACTGAGTAGAAAGATTTATCATGCTTAAAGTTTAAAATGTAAATGAGTACACACGTGGGTGATATGAAAAGCAGTTTAGTTTACTACAGTAAACTGTAAACGCATGTAAATAGGTGGAGAATTATCCAAAGTTTATGGCACTATTGAATTTGAAATTATAGGGTTTACTAAAAAGTATGAACTAGACAAGAAGACAAATATTATTCGTCCCTTTGTTACAATAGGTGTGTTAAAGTTTACCTTCGTGTAATAGCTAAATAAATAATTTGTATCGTTTACACACTCAAACTTTGAACTGATAAATGGATTTATGTTCGTAAAGTAAAAATTTTGTAAACATAAAATACCACATCCATGAACTACTGATGTATACACCTGTTAAATCAAACCCGGTGTATTGTTAAATTTTGCAGAAAAGTAATCCGCTAATCTATGTATGGGCCACAAGCCTTGTAAGAATTATTCATTGAATAGAAATTATTATAGTTAAAGATCGATGCCTGAAAAAATCGTAATTTATTTAAAAAATCGGTCCACAAGAAGATCGTGTAGCACATCTTTCAAGGTGCTTAATGACTTTATTCGCTTTGTCGAAATTGCACCAAAGCCACTAAAAATCCAGCCATCCCGCTCAGCACCTTGAAAAATTGAACTATTAGAAATAGTACTAACAAGGGACACTCACGACCTGTCGTTTGAGTCCAGGGTACCCACTATGTTTTTTAGAATCTACTAGGACCCCAGATGAAGGATTCATATTTCCGTGTAAAACTCATATTTGGCGCCATGGCGTGGCGCCAAATTCGCCAAATTTGATGGTTTTTCATTTTAAAACCGCCATAACTTTTGAAATCCTGGACGGATTTCCAAAATTTTTGGCAAAAATCATGACAAGGAGTTCAACTTTCGTATTCTATGAAATTTTTTCCAAAATTATCGCTTTTAACTTTTCGCAAAATTTCGAAATTTCGGGTTCGTCGAAAAAATGCTAAAAATATCTCAAGAATTAAAATTTTTTTATTTTTTTTTCTCTAAAATTTCGACTTTTCTGATCATTTTAAGCATAAAATTTTAAAAATCCGACATAAACTGCAAAAGTTATGGGGGTTTGAAATTGGTCGAAAATGCAAATTTTTAAGTTTGGCGCCACGCCATTGGGCCAAATATGAGTTTTACACGGAAATATGAAAGAATCCTTCATCAGGGGTCCTAGTAGATTCTAAAAAACATAGTGGGTACCCTGGACTCAAACGACAGGTCGTGAGTGTCCCTTGTAAGACTAAATATGGTTGCTATGGTTTGCACTCATCACAGGTATTTAATCACGTGGCCTGGGCATTGCACAACTCCACATATTCGTCACTCACCGTGGTCACGGAGCCACGACTAATTGTAAAGAACTGCTTGGCGGAAACGGTGGGAGGACTCGACTGGATCTGAATTTGTATTAGGCGAATCTGTACAAAAATGTTACACAGATCAAAAGGGATTAAAACTTTCTTGAGTTTTAAATCGTACACTGTTAGAAATCTGGTATAGTGAGCCAGATATTGATTT